AACTGTACTTTCAAGTCAGGTCAGGTCACTGACCTATGACGTCATAAATGAACCTCTGCACGATCCTCAGATGTCGTAACCTTGCAACGCTCTCAGTGCCAGGGAAACTTTCACAGGGAGGTGAGACTTGCAGGACTTCTTGTCCTTTAGAGGTCTTACAACCTTTATATCTCAGATTTTTCCTAAATGTCACATAAAGTCAGGTTGGTCACGTGACCTCACCTATAAGTCAATGGGGAAATATGAAAACTGTTATTTTGGCGCCAGGAATGATATTCAATTGTCTCAAGTACATGGAATCGTTACTTCATGCACTCCTTGCAAGATCTGATGCTGCATTTTTGCATTGTTGACCTTGCATGACGTCATTTATGACGTCACTAGGGTCATACGAGTTTTCGTCAATAACTCCCGATCAAATTGAGCTAGAGACTCGACAAGGTCACCAATGGACTCCGGAAGACCTGCCGAATCGAATGATATGCGATATGACCTCCTTCGACCAACTTCGTGATTTGAAGACCTCTGATCTGACCTTGACTCGAGGTCAACACCTTACGGTGGCCTCACCTGAACAAAAAGTATACCATTCGACGCGCCTGAGCAAGGCGAACACGACGATGTCAAAATCGTGGTTCTGCGGCTATTTTTTTGCGAAGTTATTTACCAAAAACGAAACCCGCTGCTTGGGTCACGTTATGAAATGGGGCCTTGCCGGGCGAGATTTACGCTGTTTCATGATATGTATAATTGGTAGGGCATAATCGTTTGAATAAAAAGTTGGTTTGGAAGCATTTTTCTACGGAGGTACACACCATTTCAATGTCCTACCCGGCTCATATCGTCATAAATTTCGACCTACCCTCAAAAGTATTCATGCGTTATTCGAGCGACAATTAGGCAAATTGCAAGCTCACCACAGAGCACAAATCCTAAAAGAGATAGTCCTTATTTAAAACATATGCTCATTGGATATTCAAGAAGGTTGCTCCAAAATATTGTGGTTCTAGCTTCAAAAACATGGATGTTATGAATGCCGATAGGTTTCGCGAGGCTACACCGGCCGGATCGCCCACTGTGCGGCGGGGGGGGGGGGGGGAGCCCGGTCCGGCTACAAACTGCCTATTCCATTATTCACTCATTCTCTTACGTCAGTCGGTCGGCGGTACGCCTTGACCGTGGGCAGTGCAGCGGGTCGGGTATGAGATCACTCCATTGTCGCTGGTCGTTGCTGTCGGTGCCAGTGGTGCCAGTGACGTCACGATCCGATAGGTGCCAGTCGAGTACTTCTGGCCGGCCGTTTCCGCTGCGCTATCAGTTGCCTCTGCTTGCGACGCCATGTGTCCCGTCCATTGCGATTCGAGCCAGCGGGGCCGGCCGTCCGGTGCGTCGAGCTGTGAGGAACCGTGCTGTGCGCCGACCGCCAGGATGAACCTTCTCTACCGCGGACAGTCTCTGTACGACACCAACGTATGGCAGCACAGGTACGAACCTCCGGCCTGAAATACACGATGTTTTTTCACACCTGTACGTAAGTACATGCCCGGTGTCGGCTTGTAAAGTGCCAATACGGTTCATCCAGGCTGCGTTACTCTCATATCCTTTTAGCTGACCACACCAGATAAGTGTCAACCGAGCTCATACCAGCTACCAATGCTTTTTGAAATATGTGCTGACTGCTGTCCTAAGTCAACCGAATTGAAACTACTCGTGTGCGCGTGCCTCGCTTTCCCCGTCTCACCTATACCGGACATTTGGCTAGCTTTTGATGTAGGTTATAAAATAGTTGTCCATACGTTGTTCAGTGTATCGGATATTATTATAGAATAATGTAATTGTTGAATGAAGATCGCTCCGTTTTTTCCCTAAGGGAAGTCGTTCCATTTAAAAATGGAGAAATCCGTTTTTAGCGTAAAGGCCGCTCATTTCGCTGTTAACCCTCGCATGTGTAGGGGGGGGGGGGGGGTCGGATGGACCCCCCCCCATGGTTTTTCGCGAATAACTCGCGTAAAAAGCGGCCGATCGCGACGAAACTTTCAGTACCCTCGCATTGATCAATTTTACACCTACCCTGAAAATTTCATGACCCTGACCCAAATGACCTTTGACCTGTGACCTCTTTTCCGAGACCATGTTTGGCCGGAATCGCGATTTAGCGTATGTCGGCTCGCACTAGCCGCGTGTTTGCAAGCTTTTCGTGGTTTCAAACGTTCAAACATGTGATTTGATGTTACTCCCGTGTGTGTCAAGGTCACCTGAAGGTCAGGTCAGGTCATTGACCTTTGGTGACCTCGGGTGACCTCGGGTCACTTTTTCGAGTTTTACATGTTTCTAGGCTAGTTTTTGGAGCTGAATTCGAATTTAGCAACCATTTGAACATTTACGAAGTAGTTTTGGTGACTTCGTAACATGTTACGAAGCTGTCAGAGGCGGTTGACACGTACTACGAATACCCGTCACGACGCCTACTGGTTGACCTGACCTGACCTGACCCGACCTGGTCTAAATGCTTCAAGACATCATCTGTGATCAAAACTAACACGATATTCGTGATCAGCACCCCGAAAAACCCCTTAGCAGCCACACTTTACGACTTTCTAACAGGTCCCGATTTTCCCGACTTTGGGTCATTGACCTGACCTGGAAGGTCAACCAATGACCTAGGACCTTAAAATTGGGTATCATCGGCTTCCTCTCGTCACGGGCAACACGCTCGTTTTTTCCGCGAAGCTCTAGCTCAATCAGGGGCCAAACGGCAAGAGGGGGGGGGGGTCCAACCGACCCCCCCCCCTACACATTAGAAGCTGGAAAACGCCGCACACATGCGAGGGTTAAGTTTCTTGGTGATGGTGGTGTTCTCATATGGCCGCTTCCTGAGTCCTGACCAAAATGGAAAGCAACCATAAAGAACAACACGATAAAGACAAACCCAACTGGGTCCATGTGTTAATTATCTGGGCTATTTCCAATGCCGGGTATGTTATGTTATGGGCCGGGTGTGTTACGGGTATGGCACCATCGTCAATATCACTTGGGTTCATAGGATTGGATATGTCTTTATCGGCTGGGTTCATAGGATTGGATGTCTGTATCGGTCGGGTTCATGGGATTGGATGTCTGTATCAGTTGGGTTCATAGGATTGAGCAAACATTGGCTGCATTGCCCGGCGACACGGGATTAGTTGAGCCTATGTGATAGCAGCTGTCGAGTGACGGATGTGAAATGGCCAATGGCCACTGGTTTATTATTTTACTTCTGTTTCGCATCAGCGGCATCAGCGATGAAAATACTATAAAGTGTGTTCTTTCAATTACAATATCCCCCACGAAGGAAGGTCTGTTATGCCTGTCAGCTGTCTAAGCTGTCTTACTTTGCCTTGTCATATTCTTCTGGATAAATAAATAGTGATCCTTTTTGTGACCCGATCATGGAGTAATCTGGTAACATTGATAACGCGGACGATAACTGACTTCCTGTGGCCTGATTTCTATTTTTAGAGAACTACCGACACAATCCAATCGAAGTCCGATTAACCTTGTATCGTGGCTTTAATTGGCGGAAGGTCAGAGAAGGAGGATGGCTGGATGGTGGCCGTGTCCCCCCCCCCTCCCACGGACTTCCTGGTGGTGGAAACCGGTCCTCTTCCGTCCGTCCTCTTTTGACTCTCTGTGGTGTGTGGTGGTAAATAATACGGGGGTGGATCAAAATGTGTCCCCGATCTGTGACGAGAACTGTCACTGTTCCGACGGTCTACAGCCGTTGTAACGAATCATAGGAGGATGGCGGTCATAGCACCAAGAGCGAGAGGAGTCGCTCCGTACCGCACCCTTTCGATCCCCCCCCCCCCTCTCTCTCTCTCTCTCTCTCTCTCTCTCTCTCTCTCTCTCTATCTCTCTATCTCTATCTCTATCTCTATCTCTATCTCTCTATCTCTATCTCTATATCTCTATCTCTATCTCTATCTCTATCTCTATCTCTATCTCTATCTCTATCTCTATCTCTATCTCTATCTCTCTCTCTCTCTCTCTCTCTCTCTCTCTCTCTCTCTCTCTCTCTCTCTCTCTCCTCTCTCTCTCTCTCTCTCTCTCTCTCTCTCTCTTTCTCGTCAGAGAGAAGCATCTGCTGTGGCCCAGCTCTGTCTTATTAGTGTAAACGCCTAAACAAAATATTGAAGTAAGGTATGTGGCCTTGTGACTGATTGCAGTAATTGCCTTTTCGGGCATTGATTGTGCTCGGACATGCACCATGCACACTTCACTCGCCCTTCATGCATAAACAAGGTGCACTAAGTGCACTTCAGAGAAGTGGGAAGACGGTTGGCTGATGATGAGGTTTGCGTTCAAACTCTGCAGCAAAGCTTTGAAAGCCATGCCCTGCCTTCCGGCAACAATGCCATGGCGGTTTCGAAGTTCGCCAGGTCACCTGTGTGAAGAGGAGTCCCACCTGTGCAGACAGACAGAAGCCCAGCCAGCCGGTGTGCAGCAGCGGCGCGCTCTGCAAGAAAGTCGTGGAGGGTTCAGCTCCTGGAAAACGCCGCGAGGTGCTTCATGCACAATGGAAAGCCACGATGGCTTTCTTCCTTTCTGAAAGAGGTCGTTGACCTCGTCAGGACGTGGGACTCGCGGTGGATTTCACGCGCGTAGTTAAGTGCCGGAGAAATCGTGCGTTGCCCGGCGGGCGCTGGAATTGACTGGCGCCGGGCTGCGGTGGTCGAGTCATGGTGCGTTGGCCACCAACCGCCCGCCTTCCCACCCACACCACCGACGTGCCCCGTTATCAACCGGCGGCACACGTAAAGGAACCGACCAGTTGCGTCACGGTTGGCTCGGTTGCGTCAGAATTGGGTACTTCGTGGTCTGGCCCAGCCTGCGGTGTGAAAAGTATAGTGGGTCCACTTGTGGCTTCTCCCCGTGACAAGAGCTCTCCACGACCGTCAGTTATCCACGGCGCTTTGTTGTCACTTGGATGCTACATCGCGGCAATACAAGACATCCCCATCATGTCACCGTCTCCGTGGCCAGCTCGTGGACCGCTGGCCCCGCTGTTCCCACCGCCAGCCGCCGTCCCGGTCGCCGCTCGGCCGGCCGGGCTCTCAGGTGGGCGGCGGCCGGCTCCGGTCGCTGCCGGCCCGGCCGACAGCCGACAGTTGCTCGCCGGCGCTCGCGCAGGAGGGACGTGACCGCTCCGCCCCGACGCTCCGAGTCACGCTGCCGCCGTCAGTTAGAGACTCACAATGAACGGTAACGGGGAAGTGCCGCCGGCGGCTCCGAGTGCCGACTGGCGCCGCCGCATCAGTGGCATGAAACTCTCCGACATGGGTGTCTCCATGAGCGACGACGACTTCTGCAGTTTCAACGGCTCCAACGTCGCAGAACTGAAGCGAGAGACTAAACACAGGTGGGAAATGGTGTCGGAGTGCGACGTGCGCCGTCACTGAGGCTCGGTGCTGGAGGATGGTTCATCGGAATATGGATGACGCTCCTTATGTAATGCAGTGTCACCTTGTAAAACTGAAAGTGATGAATGCATGTTCTGTTTGGAACACCTTCGTTAGTAGTCTACCATGGTCATGAGCGACTCTGGAATGCTTATCAACGTGTTGAAATTGAGTGAGTCAGGGACTGAATCACTGCATCTTGGAGCGATCAATTTCCTCACAATCACAAAACATGCCCAACTCATGGCCAAAGTTCAAGAGTCTGCCAGCTACATGATTCTGTAGTGCAAACGGCAGCCATGAGAATGGAAGTTAATCCCGTTTAAGGACGGATTCTTTTTTTTCGCATGGCTTTCTGGCAAGCTGTTTTTTTTAGCTGGTTATTCACTTTTTACGTATTGTTTTTGTTTCCCTAAGATGCGTGGGATGTGTGACCTTCGCGCTAATGTTGGCGATAAGTTCGTCGGCGTTTTGGATGTCTGGTGACTGCAGGTCTCTCCAGCTCCGTCTGTCATCGTGAAAGCCCGTTGGATCACATCTTGTCTCACTGATGAGAGTCGCTCTCACACATACTTACCAACCGGCAAGACACACTTGACCATAGAAAACATGTTCGCTAATTCATGAATAATCATCGGAAACTACTCACCGGAACAGAAACCGAGTTATGTCCATAACTCACCTCTCCTGCTCAATAAGTGGCCATGTATCTCCACTGTGTGACAGTGACCTTCGTCGGTGCCAGGCGGCGGGAGGGGTGTGTTTTTCCACCAGGGGCGTGCCAGGGTGGCCGCGCGCGCGGCTGGGGCCTGGTTAGGATCGATACGGGGCGCAGGATGGGGCAGTGACCCGCCCTGGCCCCCTCGTTCCACTGACCTCGAGTGGCCGCTCAGTGTCGGCTGGGCTGGCGGGCCACCTGCAAGCTGGTAAAGCACGGAACGCAGCAGGCGATAGTGGTCTGTATGCCACCGCCAGATGCTAAGCTACGCAGTATGATACGCTGGGCTATGTGCCAATGTTTGCCATTTTTAATATCTATTTTTTTATTCTCAGCATGTCACCATGTCTCAAAACATTTGAAACTGTTGGCATTCCGTATTAGTCACTGAAGGCGATTAGCTTGCTGGCTGCTTCAATCGCTCAAACTGGGATGTAGCCAAGTCGTGTATGTAGGCTAGCGCTAGGCCGTCTGCTCTGTATTAACTGGGTTACGTCACCTGACCACAGGTGTAACACGCCGTGACGTCACTGAGCCTCAGGTGTGGCCAGCCTATTGGCACCGGACGCACAATGGAGCTAACCAGCCTCTGCCGCGGTCGGTAAAAACGCCGTATCAGGTGTTGCCAGACGATGGGCGGGGATACGCACTCGTCTTTTCGGTAGGATGCACACTTGCTTACCTAGCTATTACCGCAATCCACAGGTGGATAGAAAATAAAAAAAGATCGAAGTTTAGCCCAAGGTTGATTTTTTTTTCTACCAAAGCAATAATGATTTTTAACCATTTTTTTAATCACTTTGAATGAACGACATTTGGGCCAAAGCTTATGTAACGAGAAAATAGATGGAAAATAGGAAAATACGATGATTTTCATTATTCATATCTAGTGTGTAAACGATAAACGATTAATTTTATTAGGTCATGGGTTTCGTTGGAGTTTCGCTTATAATATCTTATTGGGGATAATAATTTAAGCATTAAGAATTGGTAACGCTACCTCATGAAATATCTGAAAAAAATCAAATAGAGCTCATGCTGTAATGAGATATTGCTTGAATGAGAAACATGATGAAACATTTCCGCTAAAAATGGTGAGTTTAACGGATCGTGTGTCCTGGCAGGCTCAGAAAACGGACATCGGATAATGTTGTTAAAGTTGGGCTGTGGGGTGGATAGCAGGAGAGTTGTCCTTCCATTCATGAGCTCTGCAGAATCCTCCGGTCACAGTCGTCTGTGTTCTGCCCCAGCTGAAATTCCATCACACTGGCCGTGTCCAATGACCGGTGATTAGCCGGGTCGGTCCGTGGCCTGTCTTCCATCACCACTGTCACTTCAGTGAAGGCTGCTGCTGCTGAAAATGTTATCACCACGTCATACCATGAAGTGACGTGCTGTCCGCACAGTGACCTACACACTACACAGTCAGGTCCCAACCAGCTGTAATTTTCCGATGGAGGTGATCTGTCAAAGTTAGACCGCTGCTTGACTCCTGAACTAACAAAAAACACCGGCCTCTGACTTCTGACAAGTGGGGGTTAGCCTGAATCACTCAACAGGCTCCTGCCGAATGACTCGGGAATCAGGATCAGGGTATTGACAGTCAACGACCGATTTTAGATCCACGAGTCCTTCCTGCCACGGACGACAGGAGTCTGATACTAATGTGGTTGGTTACCGAGGTTAGATGACCAGTGCTGGCGGTCCGCCCGTCTCTGCGTGTCCTATGGTACCTATCTGCTATTGATATTGAAGACTAGAGGTGGCAAAATGTGGACCCGAGGACCCGGTCCAAAGAACCAGTTTGGACCCATATGGGTCCAGACCGGTTCCTGCAAATTTTTTGACGGGTCTAACCGGATCCTACCATAGATCATGCCAACCATGCACACTACAAATGATTGCAAAATTTGAATTGAAAGGAAAGAAAACATTTGCTCATGTATGTTTTTTGCACACTGTAGGTGCCTTATGAGTATTTCCAGTGGAAAAAAGGCTGTTTTACATGATGCAATTAATGCTACCTACCTACGAATAGTTTGTATTAATTGACTTTTGGGGAACGGGACCAACTGGTTCCGATTCCAACTTGGACCGGGTCCGACTGGTTCCAGAAATATCCAGTCGGGTCTGGTTCGAGTCTGGTTCCCAAAATTTTCACCTTTTGCCACCTCTATTGAAGACAGGGTCCCAACTCCAGCTGCAAATGGTCACCGGGCGGGGTATCAGTGCCACAGAGAGGCGGTTCTGTCCTGCAGGTCTGACATTGAGTGAGCTGTGACGCTGGAGGAGGTTCTGTCAGTCTAGCTGTGTCACCGGGAGGCGGCTCTTCCCATCGCCTGACACTGAAAGGCGGCTCTGCACGTCTCCGGGTGATGCTTGCTGTGACATTGGGAGGCCGCCCTTTCCGTCTCCAGGTGGTGCTAGCTGGTATATTGTGACCCTTTCCGTCTCTGGCGGTGGCTAAACAGTGACTGGGAGGCGTTTCTGTCCGTCCCCACCCCAGCCGAGCTGTCGTGTGCCGGGCGCCGGCGGAGGCCAACATTCCGCTGGCTCCCTGTCAGGGGCGCACGCTATGAGCTGTGCTCCGGTGACGCTCGTCCACGGGGACCACTGGGGACGGCACGTGCTGGTCCGACACGCAGTTCGTGCCGTGACGACGCTAGGAGACGCTGGATCCTGGAGGGCAAGGCCGCTGGCGAGATGAGACTAATTACGCACAGATTGGATCGTGCAGAGAATCTTCTTTTAGTCATCACGGGAATGCGCAGCTTGTTAGCCCAGCGTGAAAAACACCAATGGTACCTACTCGTTATTCATGCTGGTTAGTTCAAATTACTGCTTTGAGCATTGCAATAACCGCGGCAGTTTCACTTATTGGGTGTGATTTACTGCTTTGACCGCCTCGTCTCTGAATGGGAGCGGCACCCGCTTCATTGGCGCACTGTGGCGCTTTGTCAGGCTGAGTCCTGTCACCTCAGTGACCCGCGGTGGAGGCCGTGACCCCGTCCAGCCCTCCAGCGCGCAGTGAACCGGTCCACAGCCTGTTTACTGAATATCATATCGGTGAGCAGGCACCCTCTGTTGACTGGAGACCCACCGATCTGTCCGATATCATCATGTCGACCCCTGCAGACTGGACTCTGTCCTATGGACTCTGTGTCTCTCGACCGCAGCTCTTCCAACTCCCTCTTGGCTGCCTGCCAACCATGACAGGGACTCTGCTCTGCCATCCTAATGTTGCCTTCCCCATGATCGGTCACGCTGGTAGAATCCCCCTCGGGAATACCCAGCCGATTCCCCTCATCGCCTCACGGCCCGTTTGCCAGCAGGACGACGTCGCTGATTACTCCACGATGAGTCCACATAGCTGGTCGTGCCTCCAGGGCTGGGTCACTGTTTGTCTTAGTCTGCGAAATGCGATCATCTGGCGACCTATTGTGGAGGTCCTGTAAAGGGCTGCCCGCCCTTCAGCATTTATCAGGGTGGTGTAGTGCGACGTAGCGGTGTCTGGCTGGGCGTCGACTGTGGATGCGGTAGCTACGACGCAGCGATGTGGTGGGGGCCGACCAAGGCCTGGTGTGGTTGGGCGGCCACAAGGCGATAGGTCAGTAATTATGGTGAGTCACCGTATCAACAATGAAGGGAACTAGGAGGATCCCCGCGGTATACCGGCTGGTGTAACTCGTCATTACAAACGCGGTGGCGGTAACGCCAGGCGTTGTTTGTTTACGTTTAGAATTTCACTGCAGTGTGGTGTATATTATGTTGTCAGTTAATTCTGGATACTTGCTAGTTGAACTAACTCCCGGGGTCCTGGCAACGTAGTCCTAAAGTGCCATAGAAAGAAGATGCTTCATGGAACCTGTGAACGTATGGAGAGTTATACGTGTATATGCGACCACGTAATCCACAGAAAGTGGGACGTATTTCACGGGAAATTCCCAATCAATTGCCTTCGACCTCATTACCGATGTCCGATTACATGACTTCAGAGGCAGCCGGAACTCCGATTAGTAGTCTGCTTTAGCATAACACCATAATGTATGATGCATTACCAACGTTGCTTATGGCATTTTCGACATAACATAGTGAATGACTGCCCAGATGGGCCATTGCTTAGCAACTTCTGACAGTTTTTTTGCATTTCATTGAATTTTGCAGAATGAAATAGGTAGGTACTCGCTTGGCTTTTAGATTAGACTAAATGATATGTCTGAAATGCCATTTCTGAATTCCAAAAGGCTGTTTTAGCTAGGCTGTTGATTGATGACATTCATGATGATAACCTCCACAATGTCATGGATGACGTAATGTAACTTTATTGTCTGATTTCTTCGGAGCTATGTGTCTGGGTATGCCAAGATCAAATACCTTATTTCTGAGAATCACGTCTGAATTCGGACCACAACTTTGTCATGGAGAATGGACTGTCTGGTTCAGATGAGTTTCCTAACAATTCTTTCTTCTGTTTAAAACGGACTCGAAACATGAATATCGGGAAGCTGTCATTTTCGTGTCATTTCCGCATTCTTTAGTAATGCCTCAAAGCCATCTTCGATACAGATGAAAGACTCATTATCTACCTTTCGATAATATCAATCATTACGAATACCGCGATGGCCTTACGTTGGGAAGTAAACCTGTAATAGAAATAAGCGTATTACAGTCTTGTTCTGTACAATGTAGGGGAGAGTGGGGCACATTCGTGCATGGGGCACATTCGTTTTCAGCAGTTTATGGGAACACGAGTGACTGCACGAGCTCAAGGTAAATTATGGAAATATGTCTATCATTGCCGCCCTTCGTTCACCGTAGAAGACAACACTGTACCTGCTGTCATGCTTGATAAAAACGCAAATTTGTAATATTCGTGAGCTTTCCAAACTTTTCTCATATCATCCATTTTCGTGATCCTGACTCGGAAATGTGGTTCAGCTTTTCAAAATTGGGGGTGAAGAAGCCCACTCTATTCACGGAACTGCTGCAAACTATATTACTAATAACGTTGTGGGGCAGGTTCGTGTACGCACTGCCTGGGGGCACATTCGTGCATATTTTTTTTTTTTAGTTTTTGCGATTTATGACTTTATCTGTAGTAGGTTTCTTTAATGACGCTCGCCTGACTCAGTCTCGACTGCTTGCGACGTCGTGACGAGCAATTCACGCGAACTTGGCGAGGTCACGGAGGCCGGCAGTTGGCACATTCTTGTTGGCCAGCCCATTCTTTCTACATTTGTTGTGCAATGCATTCTTGTCGAAAGGAATCAAGTGAAATGACCCCCTGCCAATTTCCTTTGGTAAATTTCTGGTAATGCCCGGTAATTTCTCGAATTTTGCCGGGTGAACGGAAGTGCCCCATCTCTTGAACGAATGTGCCCCATAGGTGGGGCAGTTTCGTGCAAATGTTCAGAGTTAATAAAAGTCATTTTTTCTAATGGAAGCAATAATTTTATAGGATAACTTTTAAAGAGGAAAACTATCTGCAATAGTTCCTTTCCATACTACAATCAACAATTTTGCCATTGCACTAACCAAAGAACAGATATACAGTCGTCCTCAAAATTATTCATACCCTTGTTAATTTACGACATATTTTGCTTTTTTGATGAAAAGAAAACATTTTGTCGAGCTTATTTATGATTTATATATGACCAACAGGGGAATGAATAACAGCAACATACAACTGACAAAATATTCAGTTTCAGGTTTGTTTTATTCATGAATCTTTGAAAACACTCATGTTCAAAAATATTCATACCCTTGGTTTTCAGAGTTCAGTGTCTTTCTTCAGTAGTCGATAGCATATCCTTTGTTCCTTATTACTGCTTCTAGTCGGTTCCTGTAGGTGCTCACAAGCTTGCCACACGTTTCCTGTGGGATTTTGGACCATACTTCCCTGGCGAAAGCCTCCAGCTGGGTCAGGCTAGTCGGTTTCCTGGCCGTCACTCGGGTCTTCAAGTCCCGCCATAGATTCTCTATGGGATTCAGATCAGGACTCTGACTAGGCCACTCGAGGACGCTGATATCATTGTCCTCGAACCATTCCTTGACTACTTTAGCCGTGTGTTTGGGATCATTGTCTTGCTGGAACTTCCAGTTGTTGCCGGCCCGAGTTCCAGCTTCTCTGCAGATTCCTTCAGGTTTTCGTCCAGAATTTGGATATAGTCCTCCTTTCTCATGGTGCCCTGGATCCTAACGAGGTTTCCTGTGCCGCGGGAAGAGAAGCATCCCCACAACATGATGTTTCCGCCACCGTGCTTGACGGTTGGCACCGTGTACATGGGATTGTAGGCCTCTCCTTTACTCCTCCAAACATATGCAGCATCCATGTGCCCAAACAACTCCAACTTCGTCTCATCAGACCACAGGATGTTTGCCCAGAAGTTGGAATCTTGCTGCATATTGCCTCTAGCAAGGCTCGCCTGGCCTTTGCTAGAGGCAATATGCAGCAAGATTCCAACTTCTGGGTAAACATCCTGTGGTCTGATGAGACGAAGTTGGAGTTGTTTGGGCACATGGATGCTGCTTATGTTTGGAGGAGTAAAGGAGAGGCCTACAATTCCAAGGACACGGTGCCAACCGTCAAGCACGGTGGCGGAAACATCATGTTGTGGGGATGCTTCTCTTCCCGCGGCACAGGAAACCTCGTTAGGATCCAGGGCACCGTGAGAAAGGAGGACTGTATCCAAATTCTGGACGAAAACCTGAAGGAATCTGCACAGAAGCTGGAACTCGGCAACAACTGGAAGTTCCAGCAAGACAATGATCCCAAACACACGGCTAAAGTAGTCAAGGAATGGTTCGAGGACAATGATATCAGCGTCCTCGAGTGGCCTAGTCAGAGTCCTGATCTGAATCCCATAGAGAATCTATGGCGGGACTTGAAGACCCGAGTGACGGCCAGGAAACCGACTAGCCTGACCCAGCTGGAGGCTTTCGCCAGGGAAGAATGGGCCAAAATCCCACAGGAAACGTGTGGCAAGCTTGTGAGCACCTACAGGAACCGACTAGAAGCAGTAATAAGGAACAAAGGATATGCTATCGACTACTGAAGAAAGACACTGAACTCTGAAAACCAAGGGTATGAATATTTTTGAACATGAGTGTTTTCAAAGATTCATGAATAAAACAGACCTGAAACTGAATATTTTGTCAGTTGTATGTTGCTGTTATTCATTCCCCTGTTGGTCATATATAAATCATAAATAAGCTCGACAAAATGTTTTCTTTTCATCAAAAAAGCAAAATATGTCGTAAATTAACAAGGGTATGAATAATTTTGAGGACGACTGTATGGGTTTATCCATTTTTTGCACGAATGTGCCCCACTCTCCCCTACATCCTAACCGTAACATGTTTGACCCCTGACTCTCATACTTTGACTGGAATGGGCCGTCCGGATCTCAGGGACCTCTCACCCGACCACGTCTCACCACGCCACTCTTCTCTGCCCACAGGGTGTTCGTCAACCGATCCCTCCATCTGGAGAAGATCAAGTTCTTCGGGTTCGACATGGACTACACCCTGGCCGTCTACAAGTCGCCGGCGCTGGAGAAGTTCGCCTTCGAGCTCATCAAGAAGCGTATGGTGGACATCGGCTACCCGGCTGAAATCATGCAGTTCGAGTATGACCACAGCTTCCCGATCAGGTGAGGATTTTTCGTAATTAACAATTAAAATGCTATTGTATGCATTTTTATTTGCCCTTCGACGCTCAATTTCATTTTTCCGCAAAAAAATAGTGTCATTTTTTCGTGTGAGAAAAATGGTTCGTTTGATTTACCCAAAAGAAATAATAAATTTGATGGTGATTTTGTGTTTTATGGACCATTCTTTCATTATCCACTCATGAAATGAACTCCTCTGATTGAACGCCTCACGGAGCAGCAATTGGATCCGACCGTGTGATACGACTCTGACCTGACTACAATGTCCGGCTGTTACAGAGGTCTGTGGTTCGATACCCAGTTCGGTAACCTGCTGAAGGTGGACGCCTACGGAAACATCCTCGTCTGCGTGCACGGCTTCAAGTTCCTCAAAAAGTAAGTATGCCGTTAGGAGTTTCCAGTGAGATTCGCAGTTTGATCGTGAATGAACAACGTGTGTGTTCGTTTGTATAATGTATATTCTATGCATGCCGTTCGTCACTTGTCTATTCCGTCAAACTATGTCTGGAACTAGACAGCTCTGTCCAATATTTATACCTAGACGCCTGCAGTTTAGTTTCGCTGTCCCCATGTCCTGACAGCGATGTTTGAAACCGCCATAAGTTCAGCTCCCTCTGAGGTGGTCATCAGCCGAGGCAGTGCAGTGACCCCTGCCCCCTGACCCCGCGACCCCGTCTGGCTATCAATCGTACCGTTTGGCCCGTGGGTCTGTTCACCACCCGGCCCGGTCTGTGTCTGTCGACCCTCTGGCTCTCGCAGCCTGACCAGTGAGCGGTCACAGGGGACGGTCAAGTGATGCGCTCCAGACGGCACGGGTGGCCGCGCGCCGTGTGGTGGCTACGCCGAGCTGCGTATTACAGCCACAGCACAGACAGATGGACACTTTTGAACGGCTTCTGTCGCTGGGGTACGGGGGGGGGGGGGCTGGTGGTGATGGTTTGAAGTGTGTCGGACATGCTAATAGCGGATAATTTGAAAAACCGAATGTGCATTGATTATCTCATAGACATGCACAAACTAGTGAAATCATATTTTGGTGGCATGTAGCAGCGTATTGCTTGCATAACTCACGTTTTTTTACATACATTTATTACGAGAATGAGCTTGTTGAATATCAAGTGAAACTAACATTTTTTATTTGCATTAGCCATCTCTGCAAATCTTTTAGTGCAATCCAGGCATTCTTGAACTAGCTGCGATTCGATTTCACCATGCTGCAATACGGTGCATGGCTGTCGTTACTGGCTCATTGTTTGAAAAGCTTTGTATATTTATACCTGTCTCGCCACGTTCGTCAGACATGTCAGAGCTTTCACGTTGCCTGTCTGGAGCCCGTGTCACGTCGACATGTGTCCACGTGGTCTGTTGTCAGGTGCCCCTCCTGTCGAGCCTGACGTGACGGTCACGCCCATCGTGTGTCTGTGTCTCAGGGCGGAGATCTACGAAATGTACCCGAACTCGTTCATCACACTGGACGACTCGCGCGTCTACGTCATGAACACGCTATTCAACCTGCCGGAGATCTACATCCTGGCGTGCGCCATCGACTTCTTCTCTAACGACCCGTCCTACACTCTGTGAGTGCGCATGGGATATACCTCTACTGATCGGAAACTAATCTAACATCGCAACTACATTTGCTAGCGGGGCGCAGTTTCACATTCATATATGTTGTAATCCGAGAAAGCGAGATTCTTGTAGCTGCAATTTACAAACAGATAAGCACCTATCTTAAATTATATGCATCTGAAACGCTCTTATAAGGTTTTGCATATCGCATCTTGCGCCACCAAGGCCTAGTTCATTGTATCCTCTGTTTAGTAGTTTTTCCACATCATAGCTGTTTGCGTACGTATACCGCAGTTATTAGATCCTTTTTTCTTTTGTCTTTCTTTAGACACAGCTAATTTTGATAAATAACACCCGTAAATGCTTGAACTTAAATCGGTCCTTTTCGTTTCGTTTAACGTGGCACAGTGTTGATGCCTCCTATTTTTCCAGGAGCGGTCCTATCGGGTAAATATTTATTTGGTCGCTGTAGTCGGATCCCCCTCCCCACTAACCGATGAGTGTTTCGTCACTGGATGGTAACCGTCACCCGTTTAATGAGGTAGATGTATTTGTGTTTCGGGTTCGCGGGACCAGTATATCCCTCGTCAATGTAGTCGCTTGTCATTCAGTCGCCTGGCTGCGTATCCGTCCTGCTAATCGCACAGCTGTGCCCGCTGCGATGCAGGTGCTTGGACCGCCGTGTCTGCTCACGGTGGACGGGTGAATGTTGAAAATTGTACTGGACACATGCACTGGAGTAGGCGGACTGCACCAGCACCCCTTTTGTTAGGGTTGAAATGATCCCACTAACCGGGGTGTACACTGTGCATCTCCCTGTATTGCCTTCAGGTATGGGGGATGGCTATTTCCTTATCTTTTGGGGAATGGCTGTTCTCTCATGCCCAAAAGTCTGTATTTTGTGACAATTTTTACATCGTCTGGGATACGAACTAACACGTTTCCAGTTTTCCACTGGTGTAGCGAATTTTTATATCCCGCTCCTTTTTTGTACTTAATTTCAATAGTCGACGACCCACTACTGCCAGCCCATGCGTCAGCCAGGCTTTGTGGTGCGGTCTGACACGCCACCCTGAGGTGGCGGTACGTCTGCATGGTTTGGGCCCTCCCGAGGCATGAAGCCATGGTCGGCACCACTGGCAGTGTCCGGTCAGGCTCCATTTAATACATTTGTTCCTTTGTTCCTTTATTATTCGGTGGTTCTGTGCCACGGACCTGAATAGATGGGTAAGGAGCTGTCCTTCACATTCCAATTTTGATTAGCCTTTTGTCACAACACGTCTATTCAGACTGCAGAACGCTAGGAACCCCCAAGGGGCCCTGTTTACGTCGGTATACAACATATTGAATTGAATCGCTGTATAATATCATTTGCTCATTATGTATCCTACATAATTACTGTGGGATTCCCGGGCCCGTTTGAGGCCCGTTTGAGGTCCCGTTTGGCCTGGTGTCAAGGAATCACAGCAGTGATGACTCACGTGTGAATAACGCGACCATCAGTAGTCGGCGGAGCCGGTTTTTTATAGCTAGCCGACCGGTCGCCTCCGCTGTCCTCTCTTTGATGTAGGCAGGGCGGTGCTGCTCTTTTTTTCCTTGGATGCTGTGGACCTAACACAGATGAACGTGAAACAAAGAGTATTGGCCCATGGGGATGAGGACAGGCTGGCGGACAGAATAGGAAGAGTAGAGCAATAGTTGTCAAGTGGTAGGGATCCTAAGACAGGGTGTCTTTCGAGAGTAAGTGGTGTGTTCTCTAAATGGAAAGCATTAATGAGTCAAATATAGGTAGATGGAGTCTCTCTGATTAGAGGCCGTCCTGCGTCGGGGTGGGTCGGGAGGGAGGGTGGGGTGTTTGACGGTTCGGTCCGTACCCCTAGGCGCGCCTGTGTGGCCTGGCTCGGTCCTTCCGCCGCCCGCGCTGAGCCGGCCCGCGGCCTCTGGCCTCCGCGGGCGCCCCAGACACCAAATGTTGGTGCGTGGCTCGGTCCGTTTGCACGAACGGAACTCGGCTAGAAAGGAAACTCCTTAGACGAAGTATTTGTACAGACGTTCCTCATTAAATCGCTATACTAAGATATACTTCATCCTTATGATAAACTGAACCTAATAGTCGTTCTTTCGTTCATTCAATATCTCTTCGATGAGGTCGCTTTCATTCTTGTTGTGCCATATTTCGATCCATCTTCTGCATCTGTCATTTAGTTGAATTGTTTTCTATGAGATTCTGATCTATATAGTTTCTGCTTTTCTTAGTTACCAATTCTGTTGCCGTCTATGCAATGAATAAATCGATGCATTAAACTGACGACTTGCCCTTATCTGTCGTCGGAAATATCCTGCCAAACTGCCCTCTCCACTGTTCCGGTGACCGTGCCGTAGCCTGACCACGCCCTCCACCCTACTGACGCACAGGTCCAATGACGGCGTGAGGAACGGCGACCTCTTCATGAGCTACAAGTCCATCTTCCAGGATGTGCGCCAGAGTGTCGACTGGGTCCACATGAAGGTGGGTCCAACGGGCAGAAGGCGTCCTTGCGTAACACGGTCGGGGAGGGCTAGCCCGACATTTGCGTCTTGTAATGGAAGGTGGATTAGGATTCGTACTCGCACGTGATTATGACGTTCCACAGACGGATTTTGTCGGATTCCGCATGACGTGATGATGACTTTAAACGTAAGCTTATGTAAGACGCATGCTTACATAACGTAACTGTATGCGCAGCCTAGTTTAGAGCTCTAATATAGCTGAACGTTTAAACTTAGCCCGTCGACTCATATCTTGTTCCTGAAATAGTTCACATGAAGCATCCGTAATCTTAACTCTTCGCAAAATAGTTAACATAAACCATCTGTATTCCGTAATCCTAACTTTTCGCAAAATAGTTTACATGAAACATCCGCAATCCTAACTTTTCCAACCCTCCTCATTAATGCATTGCATTGCTCATAATGCATTGAACATAGGACCATGTTACGGGACTAATCAATGCACGTTGCACAATGCGCATTCTTTGATGTTGTCAAATCACCCGATTTGTCGAGTTGACTAGACATTCTTAATTTCCTTGACTTTGCTATGCTATTGGTACACTTATTTTTATCCTTTTAGAGCTCGTCTTAGATTCGACGCCAATCCAGCTAAAATATATGACATGTTCTTTGTCTTTCTCTTCCCTCTACTCCTATTTACTTTAATTTTGCTTGACGACGGTTAGACGTGCCACATGTCCATTGTCCATTGTCACCATCTTTGCTGTTATGGCGTCTCATAAAGCTAGTGGACAGGCCTTTTCCTTTATCAGTCTCTGTTTTCGTGAATGCATTTGTTACTGAACCTGATATGTATGTACTCATTTCCTTGTTTGTAGTTTTGACTCTTCTAAATATACGGATATGTCTCGTCTCGAGCGGCACATGCCCCTTTCAAGGAAGTATCTTTCCTCTTCACAGTAAAAACTTTTTTCGGTACCTACTTCTCTCCCCCTTTCCTCTCCATCAACCAATGTAATATCTGCATGGCTTGCTATGCTCGTTCCTTCTCGTCCGATAGCCCTATTACTCCCCTATATCCCCCATCCTCATTTATTTCTCAACTGGTCCGATAGGTTGACTGGTTATGCCAGTTACGATTTGGTTATGACTGATTTCACCTAATGTATGGAGTGATGTTGAGCTATCGTATAAATCAACTCTGCCACCATGCCCACCCATAGACCCACCGTATCTTACTCTCCCTAAACGCCCGCTCACCCCGTCTCATTCACAGGGTGACCTGAAGAAGCACACTGTAGCCTCCATTGACGACTACGTCCACCGGGACGAGCGGCTGCCCATGCTGCTCGACCGGCTCCGCGAAAACGGCGTGAAGACGTTCCTGCTGACAAACTCCGAGTTCTGGTACACAGAGGCCATCATGACGTTCCTGCTCAACTTCGATAGTGTGAGTTAGAGTGGGGGCTGGTTCAGGAGAGTTTCTTGGGATAGGTGGTGAAGTTGGTGGTGTATTGTAGAAACACGATGAGCTTAGATTCATGTTAGCGATTTCTTTTGGGGGATGGAAAATGGATATGCGTATGTGTATTGTGTCATTCCAGCCTTATGCCAATATGCATAGATTCATGGTGCGTCTTCCAAGAGGGCCATCGTGTGGGACTAAACAATGCATTTTGCACAATGCACCTGCAATGCACATTCTTTGATGTTGCCAAACCACTTGCTTTGTCAAGTTGACGAGGCAGTGTTGGCGAAATGCACCCTTGTTCGTGTTGGCTCCGCTCTTTTACAAGCGTTTTGCATCAGCTTCATGTTGTATTATGTCGTGAGAAGTGCACAATTATTTTGGTCTGCAGGCGCACTTACACAACTCAGTGTACATGAAAACCTTTCTGTGGTGGTTCAGATGACCTTGTAAAGAACGGTCTCGGATTGAGATTCGCGGCGACTGACCCTGGTCAGAACAATAGCACGTTCTATGATCGTGTCGTCTTGCTAGCATGCCCATTACACATGGCTCAAACCACGCTGCAACTCGAGAACATCAACATTGTATGTACTATGCCAGTCGCGTGCCCTTGTACCAGTGAGCGCCTATCATGTGCAACACCCGGACGCCACAAGGAGCGCTCTCTCTTACCGAGCCAGTGTTGCACCAGAGAAGTTAGGAACGTCCCCTCTTACCGTGGCCGTACCAGTGTCATAGACTTACAACAGGTTCCCTCTCTTTATGCTAGCTATGTCCGGTATGCTCCCCTGTCGTAACACGCACTCCGACAACATTGGCCGTCGAGAAGACCACTTGCGCTCACGACTGCCCTGCTCTACCAGCACCAGCAGCTGCAGTGACTTCTACCTGTCCACTCCCGTGCCATCAGTGATTGCGGTCGTGAATGCTGATCAGCAATAGCCCCTCCCCTTTTCACCAGCAGTTGCATGTTCGGATAGCGAGGCAGTCTCGGTCACGAGTCACAGGAACTAATCCCCCTCCCCCCCCTCTCCACCGTCAGTCGCGGTCGTGGCGCTCCTACTTTGACTACATTGTGGTGGACGCGCGCAAGCCGCTGTTCTTTGCCGAGGGCACCATCCTGCGCCAGGTGGATGAGTCGACGGGCGCGCTGAAGATCGGCCACCACATGGGCCCGCTGCAGTCCGGCAAGGTCTACTCGGGAGGTGAGGATACCGCAGGAAGGGGAAACGTCAGTCGTGCTACTCAACTCAGCTTACTTATTTTCAACATAAAAGACAAAATAAATACGAAAGCTACTGATGAGTGATGGGCCGGGGATGGCGCTACACTGATTCAATGGAATTTTAGGATGATCGTTATATAAGTAAATCCTCCCACGCGTTTTCAGGCTCGTGCGAGGTGTTCTCCCGACTGATCAACGCCAAGGGTCGCGACGTGCTGTACTTCGGCGACCACATCCACGGCGACATCCTCAAGTCGAAGAAGATTGTCGGCTGGAGGACGTACCTGATCGTGCCGGAGCTGACGCAGGAACTCTCCGTGTGGACGCAGAAGTGCCAGCTCTTCAACCAGCTGCAGAGTCTTGACGTCAAGCTCGGCACGCTCTACAAGTGAGAGAATGGGTCGGGGTTTTGACTTCAGGGCGGACGGTGAATGTAACCTTGCTATGTTTTAACTAGATCCGGGTTGGGATGGAACTGGACGACGCTATGCACTTTTCTGCTTAACTACTTACACTAGTCTTGGCCTCGTTTGCTATATTCAGTAATGTAGAGTCGTTGCGCTGCGCACAATGTTCTGCCATCTGCCATTGCTGACGGTGCAATAACAGCCCCTGGCCGCCGTACCTTTCCATTCTGTCATCTAACGCATCTTTCCTCGCAGGAACATGGACTCGTCAACCAAGGAGAAGCCGGACATCCGGCAGGTGCGACAGGAGATCAAGGGCATCACGCACGAGATGGACATGAGCTACGGCCTGCTGGGCAGCGTGTTCAGGAGCGGCTCCCGGCAGACCTTCTTCGCCGCTCAGGTACGCAACTCTGTCACTGCCGCCGCGGGGTGCCGATTCGCATGAACGGTGCAGCTGTGGAGGGTGGATTGAGGAAATTCTGGACCGCTGATTCAAGTTTGTAGCTCCAGAGTGTTCCTCTCCGAATGTTTTCGTTGGACGACTGAATGTTTCGTTAATTCTTCCAACTGATGTTCGATGCTTGATATAGAAACAGACCTCACGCTTACGTGATGTTACGTTCTGAAGCTTCTATGTCTAACAGGGTTTCATAGCGTTGTCTCTTTGGTACTTGAAATGAATCTTGTTTATCTGTCTGCTTATGTTGACACTGCACTTACATAATATCGTCCCCATGCATCCCACCTTAGGACCTTATCTCGGTATCTCCGATCTGGGCTTTGCCCCATCACTGACCCTGACCCTGACCTGTGCTCTTCCAGGTGAACCGGTACGCCGACCTGTACGGCGCCACCATGCTCAACATGCTCTACTACCCCTTCTCCTACATGTTCCGCGCGCCAGCCATGCTGGTGAGTGACGCTAAATGGGAGCTTGGTATTCGGGGGGGGGGGGGGTACTTGGCTGTTGGAACAGGGCGAGGGAGGGGTGTTTGATATTAGCCCTGGCCTTATGGGAGTGTCGGACTGTTGGTCTTTCGTTTCCATGCCAAAGGAACTCGTTTGGCTCGCGGACATTTTAGTCGAGGTCGATCAAAGGCGTTTGCTCATGCCAGTGAATAATCTCGACCATCTCAAGGCAGCTGATAGTACTACAGAATACTTCTGTATACTTTTTTCAGAATACTTTTGTAATGCAACTGCTAGACGATTCAAGGGTTTTGTTTGCTGTAACTACTTAAGACATGCATCTTTCTACTGCCATACGAGTTGACTGCAATGCATTAGTAGTCTTGCTCGTTGTCTAGAGCTGAAACCCACGGTTGGGCTCCCCGTGCTCTGAGCTGAGCCGTTCTCTGACCGCTAGCTGCCGCACGAGTCGACGGTCACCCACGAGCAGACGTTCGTGGCCGACGGGCCGGCACTGACCCGCGCCCGCACACTGGGAGGACCGGCCAGCAGCGGCGGAGGCTCGCCCACCACACCGCCGGCGTTCCTACCCTCGGTCGAGCCGCTGCCCGAGACCCAGGTAAGACTGACGGGACACGATCTCTCGGCCTCTCCTCTCAGTCTGTCCTATGTTAGGTATCCGCCGTTAGATGGCTGCCAGTATAATCCCGTCCTACAGATTTATAAAATCGACATCGGTTTCAGAAGTATGTATGTTGAATGATCGTTTGGTGTAAATTTATGTGACGAAGAGCCGAAGTTATTTCTTGCCGACTGACTTGCATGCTCTGTTGGGTGTCAGGGAGAACGTCTACTTCAGGTAACTGTCGCTGGGTGTCAGCAGCGCCGCGGCTGCTTGTTCGGCCGCTGGAAGCTGTATCCGGTCACTGTTCTTCAGTGGCATTTGTCCACTGCCTGTTCATCGCCTGTTCGTTGGCAGTCTCGTTCTTCTACTGTGATTTTCAATTGCTCGGCATTGTACATTGTCTCAAGTGTTGGATGTAATTTTTATTGTAAACGGATTGCCGAAGCGTTAATTGCGCTCGGACTTCGTATGCACTGTTCGCTGTGGATCTTCAGCCTGAAAGAGTGCAGCGCTGACGAGCGCCTGTACTCTCTGTCTGTAAAGTGTTGGCCGTTCTCTGTACAGTCTGTGTCAGTGGCACGGGTCCTGTGTGTTTTACTGTATGTACATACCGGCCTGGCCTCTTAACACTGATGGTTCACTTTGTGTTGTCAGGGTCGCCGACGGAGGGTAAGATCTCGTCACCCTGAGCTTTGTGCCAGTCTGTCGCTCTTTGCATGGCCTCTGTATCTCAGTTGTACTGCCGCACTCCGCAGACAATACCCTAAAACACAGTGCGCTCCGTTTACGTCATTGGGAGTTTTATAACCGTTAGGGTGACAGTTATTTTCTGATTTTTTGAAAAAGCAAAAAGGCAGTTCATTTTATGGTTCCATATAGCATAAAAACATCACATGCAAAGTTTCATCCGGATCGGATGATATTTAACCGTGCCTCCTCGAACTTGAATGTATACGTTTTTATCCATTGGGCCAGCAGTGTAGACCTTTCTGGTATCATAAGCAGTGTTTCTCAGCTATTCATAACGATGCAATCATAAAACAAAAGACTGTGGTACAGGAAAACTAGTGATGTATTTTAAAACGATTTAAAAAAAAAACTGAGATAAGACTCAATGCGTCTTGTGGCAGTTGGCAAACTTGGACCTCCTGAAAAATGTGAGCATCTGCGTCGAATGCTATCGCGCATTACTGCAGATGCCGGGTGGCGGTGCCTTTGCTAGCGTTTGGAAACCTTCCACGGTGTGCCTCCACCACCTGCACGATGTACTGCCCATGGTCCTCATCCTTGGTGAGGGTCAAATTGTACGCTTCCATCAGAGCGACGCTACGCTCGGCGAAGTCGTTCAACACCGTGATGCCGTTGGCCTTCCCCGCTGCGGCGACATAGCGGGGGTCGTCATGCCACTCGGCACTCGGCAGGGTCGGTCTCGAGGAAGCCGTCGTCAATTCCAAGAGTGACGAAGAACGTCCGCGACGATGTGGTCACGAAGTCTGCGCGGGTGTTCTGCGTCAGGTCTGCGCTGAGATCAACGACGGCCCGCTTGGTCCTCCGAGCCTTCGTTCGAGGCGAGGGCCTCAACCATGGCCCGCTTTCCATGCATTGGTAGGCTCCCGTCAAAGAACGCCAACGGGACTAGGCTCTCACTCAGATACCATAAGTGACGTCGGGCGAAGCCGCTGAGGAGTGTCTTTGCGTGGGACTTGTCCTTGTACCTGGCCAACGTCTTCAGAAGGGAGAGGTCGTTCTTAGGGGGATTTCGTCAGAAGGGGAGAGGTCGTTCTTGGTCGTTGATTCGTCAAGTTTGCCGTGTCGGTCTACATTTCCACGTGGTACACCGCGCCGAGCCCAACATCGGCCCGTAAGAACGACCAATCCCTTCTGAAGACGTTGGCCAGGTACAAGGACAAGTCCCTCGCCAAGACGCTCCTCAGCGGCTTCGCCCGACGTCACTTGTGGTATCTGAGTGACGGCCTCGTCCCGTTGGCGTTCTTTGACGAGAGCCCTTACCATTGCATGGAAGGCGGGCCATTGTTGAGGCCCTCGCCTCGAACGAGGGCTCGTAGGACTTTTACCAAGAGGGCCGACGTTGATCTCAGCGCAAACCTGACGCAGAAGACCCTCGCAAACTTCGTGACCACATCGTCGCGGACGTTCTTCGTCACCCTTGGAATTGACGACGGCTTCCTCGAGCCCGACCCTGCCGAGCGGCATGACGACCCCCGCTATGTCGCCGCAGCGGGGAAGGCCAACGGCATCACGGTGTTGAACGACTTCGCCGAGCGTGGCGTCGCTCTGATGGAAACGTACAACTTGACCCTCACCAAGGATGGGACCAGAGGTAGTACAGGGACCCGCAGTTGCTACTGTACAGGGTGTCCGGAAAGTCCTGGCGCTTTTCAACATTGTTAAGATAAATGCCTTTGGTCCATAGATACTCAACAATAGAACGAAACAATGACCAGGAACACCAAGCCACATCCTTCTGCTAAGTGCCCATTCATTGTAACCACCGTCTGTGCCGACGACGGCCTCGACGCAAGGGCGGAAACGCCTGCGGGTTTTGACGGTGCAGGACATTTCCTGTCCTCCCATGCTGTCATGATGCGAGTGTTCAGGGACTCCAGGCTGGGATGAGAGGTGGCCTAGAGCTTATTCTGCAAAACGCGTAGCATGCCTTAGTCGAGCGGGTTAAGGCTGGGATAATAAGGTGGCCTAATCTCATTTCACCACGGTGATCTGGTCCGCCGAGCTCCTCTGTCAGTTTGGTTTGGACGGCAGCGGCGTTGTTGGGGGGCGCTCCGTGCTGTTGAAGTGCGACATGACCCTTAGGGCAAGTCGCCTTGATTGTCGTGTCCAGGAACCCCTCGTGGACCAGCCTATCAGTCATTTATTTGACCTTGACGAAGATGATGGGACATTTGTGTCCATCAGACCCAAGATTTTCTTCGATTGCCGCTGAAATGCTGGTTCAGTCTCAGCAGCTTTGGCATACCGTGGTTGTAGCTGAGTGAGAATATTTTCTAAGACATTTCCGATCTGGAGTGCACCTTTGCCTGCTCAACCGTTCGCCGGGAAACGCCGCATCGCGTTGCAACTCGCGCCTCGTTCAAGCCGCACCGGGCCCCCGCGCGCGGGCTCTCAGCGACAAGGCGCATCTTCGCCCATATACCTAGCACTGAAAACGGTTTCAAGGTCATATTTACGCGACCCCTAGCTGAGCGGTGAACGAGGGGTCATATCTGCGGTGATTGGTTGAAAGTCCAATAATCACAGCGCGCGTTAGACGACGTCCAAAAGAGGCGCCAGAACTTTCCGGACACCCTGTACAGCGACCCTGAGTAAATTGTCTCAGCACCCTCACAGGGAACAACGATAAGCTGTCAGAGGGTACTCACAGGAAACCTCAGCTGCTCTTGTACAGGGACCAGCAGTCGATATCAATGTTATCGGTTGTTACTGGACAGGACAGACGGTTAGACTTGGGGTTCGTGTACAGTAGCAACTGCGGGTCCCCGTACAACCTGCAGGCGGTAGAGGCACACCATGGAAAGTTTCCGAACGTTAATATAGGCGCCGTCACCCGGAATCTGCAGTAATGAGCGATAGCATTCGACGCAGATGCTCAGACTCGTCAGGAGGTCCAAGTTTGCCAACTGCCATAAGACTCATTGAGTCTTATCTCAGTTTTTTTTTTATCGTTTTACAATGCATCACTAGTTTTCGTGTACCACAGTCTTTTGTTTTATGATTGCATCGTTATGAATAGCTGAGAAACGCTGCTTATGGTTTACATACCAGAAAGGTCTACACTGCTGGCCCAATGGCTAAAAGCGTACACATTCAAGTTCGAGGAGGCACGGTTAAATATAATCCGATCCGGATGAAACTTTGCATATGATGTTTTTATGCTTTATGGAACCATAAAATGAACTGCCTTTTTGCTTTTTCAAAAAATCAGAAAATAACTGTCGCCCTAATAACTGTGTGCTGGTCCGAGTCCGAAGCTGGTGCGATTTTTTTCTTTTATCCACTCTCTTGGTTTGGCTAGTCGGCGGGATTTACGTTTGGTGCTTCCGGGTGTATGTATACATCCCATAGTGACTCCGCCGTGTGTCTGGGAGGTGTGTTTCACTCCTCAGATGAACGGACCGACGATTTTTCCGCCGCCTACCAAGCCATTGGCCTGCTGAGCTTTGCTGAGCTGTGGGTGTTTTTGGCGACTGCAGACGCAGCCGCAGACCTGACGCGGCCGCAGCTCAGACCGCCCTGCCTCTAAATGTGCCAGCTTTGCTGTGTTGTGACTGTCCTCGCTCTGTGTGCGTTTGCGTTTTGTTGGCTCCTCCGACATCTCGAGGTAATCGGCGATCGTTTCGACAGAGGCCTACAGCTGCTCCAACCCTCGCTGGCTTTTGCCAGCTCAATCGCGTTGGCGGCATGCTTGTATGGTCGTAAATGGCCCACCGGTGACCTAGCGTGTTTCCCCTTCATTACATTTTATTGCAACTGACGAACAGTGTCAATTTTTCTTGATATTATGGTCCATGCCTTTGGGCACAGATAAAAAGCTCCTGGGGAAGGTGCTTAAAAATGCTGAATGCACAGTGCACACACATGTACGGGTATTTCATTGGCATGGTGACTTATGGTGGTTTGGCGCAGAGCATTACTGAAGCCTTATGTTTATATCTTTTTAAATACATTACCAATCGTTTGAATTTTAATACTAAAACCAGCAAGCACATGCTGTATATCTCGCCATTGGCAAGTAGAACACACCGAAGCTCCTCATGACCCCACTGCCTCATCTCAGCACACCCAGTGTTTGTAGCGTTGTAGCGCTGCCATCCCTCGCGTGCTGAGCCGGTCACCGACCTATAGTTAGGTGTCCGGCTCCCTGCTGTGTCCACGCTCTCCCGCCTCCCAAAGTGAGAGCTCATGTTAACTCACTCTCTCTGACCGCCCAGATGCTGGAGCGTTCTCACACACTCACCAGACCGGAGATGCCACGCAGTCTCACCCACCACCACGACGACGATGAGGATTCCGACGACAGCAACGGCTCCAAGTAGGCGCCGCTCGGTCTCGAGTGTCGGCTCGTGTCGCCGTGCCGTGGTCCGGCCGCCGGGGCTCGATACCCGTGCCGGTTTTAGGTCTGTTCAGTGAGCGGGGTAAGCCGAGGCGCTATGGGCCTCTGGGTCGGCTGTACAGTGTACAGGACGGACTGCCGGGCGGCTGCGGGTGGTTTGTTCTGGGCGGCTTGCAGCCACAGGGCCGATGCCGTGGCCCGTCAGTCGGTGGGTGTCGCCACAGAGTTACCACCGGAACTCGCAGTGTGGGCGGAGACTGAGGCTCCTACTGCCCGCCTCCGGCTGATGCTGACGCCAATGACGCTACTGACTTGCGCTGACAATCAGCCGCCGCCGCGCTGCCCCGCACACGGGTGTGCTAGAGTACTATTGCCATGCTTTACCGCGTCGTTGTAGCGGGTTTTTACTCGGGCGCGGTGCGACGCTGCGCCCGGCGTCCGACGTCGTGGCCAGCGGTGCCCAGGTGAGGCCGGGCGCCCTTCTGTCTGTGTTAACGCTCTCAGAATCTAGACCCATCGCTTAGTGCCGCGGCGCTATTTATTTTTATTAGAGGTTAGTCTGTGTGTAGACGTTGGCCGGCCGCGGGCCCGGCCGGTGCGCTGTTTTAGTCCCTAGTGGAGGGCCGAGTGTCTGTGACCGGATTGGTGGCTGCCTGCGAGCGGCCTGACCGGGCGGCTCCACTCCATTGTTGCTTCAATACAGAGAACACATACCGACGGCTGGCTGGTGTTTATTTGGGCGAGTCAGCGGCATGGGATCAGGCCTGACCACACTGCCGGCACGACCAAGGTATTCTGCAGTTCCGATTTGATGTTTACACAACGTGACCGCGGGAATTTGACGGCTTGCTCAATGCTGATCCGAAAGAGCGCCACAGCGTATTGTACACGTGTAGCAATTTAGATTTTAGAGCGAAATCGGGTAGTACCTACATTTAATCTGAAATGTGAGTTGAATATCACTGATTATAGTGTTTGCTGACAGGATACATCGGTGATGATTCAATATTACCTTTAGATGACAAATCCCGAGAAAATCTGAGTGAATTGTTCGTAAATGTGTTAAAAATTCGTCCCCTTACCTACCGATCTATACCTATTAGCTATAAATAGCTATGCTATAATAGTCAACGTTTCGTTTGCACGAGCGAATAAAGTAAGGAGACTAGAATTTAGCGATGAAAACAGCCAACTACATGCGTGCGTCACGTGCGTCGGCCGTCACGTCGCAATGCGTGAATCGTTACAATGGCTGTCCATAGATGTCGCCACGAACAAACGCCTGAAGTTAGGCTGTTCCGCAGTACGCGCGCGCTCAACTTTGACTTGATCGCATAGTGCGCCCACCGGTCGGCTGTTCCGGCTGTCAGTGCCCAGTGACACTTCTCAGAGAGCTGGTTTTATTCTAGCCACATAGCGTGTTTCTCTCAGGTCTCGTCAAGCACCTCCCTTTACAACGAATGAATTCCGTTAGACGGTGCCAATCGACAGCACGGATCCTTATGTTAGAAGCAGGTTAGAAGTCTTCCCGCTCCTGGCAAGTGGCACAGGCCACAGGGGCCTTCAGACACTCACCTCCTGACAGCGAAGCTTCCCGACATGCATCATTTTCAGCTTATCGGGAGTCCCAACGGAAAAACATGAACGACCCGGAGGAGGCCGGCTACTGGTACCTACATGGGGTCGACCGCCGAGCTCGATGGATTTGATTTGGCAACCCCCAGGAATTAGGATACGATCTCCCGGCAGAGGTGACAGCAGGCCCTTCCCTCTTTCTGACAGACGAGCATCCTTTCTGTGGCGCAATGTAGCCATGGTCTCTTAACCCTAGAACGCCTAGGGGGGGGGGGGTTGTATCAACCCCCCCCCTGAGGTTTTTTCGAAGTGCACGCTAAACGGCTTGTCGTAGCGGGCTGAAATTTTCAATACCCTCTGGGGCAACCTTTGCGCATCTTTTGCCGAAAAAAATTGATCGGGTCATGTCAGGTCACGGAGTTATGACGTCATAAGAGGTACAGCCTCCGGCCGGATTTTCACAAACTGAGTGCCAACGCTCGAGGTTTCCTGCCGGTGGTACGGACATCGGTTGATGGATCGTGATGAAACTTCCCATGCATGTTGGGGCAAGTATTGGCTATCATATGGTATAAGAAATTTGACCGGGTCAGGTCAGGTCACGGAGCTATGACGTCACAAGAGGAACAGCGTCCGGTACTATTTTTGAAAAGCGCCCGAACCACTATTTTGCTAATTCTTGTCACCTCAATGGGAATATGCAGCAATATTAGCTTCTATAGGGAGCAAATGGACCTCCCAAATCCAAAAATATAATCAGATTTCAAAAATTTAAATTTTGATTTTTCGAATTTCTGCCGCCGACTGTGACCTTGCCGACTTCCGGCGCTCCCAACGCGCCATTTTTAGAGCTAGGGAAACGAAATACATACCAAACGATAGAGAATTGATCAAGGAACACGATATATCGTGTTCCTTGAACACGATATATCGTGTTCCTTAAAACCTTCACTATAGTGAAGGTTTTAAGTCGATATCTCCCACCGTGTTGCCGCAATCGCCGCCGCCGAAAGTTGAAAAAAGTATATTTTTCCGAAAATTTGACCTTTGACCGGTCAAAAGTAGGTCAAATGTTGACCTAGGACCAAAAAATATACCACCAATCGCGAGATCTCGTTGAGAGCAATCCGTTGGTTTTTTCCGCTAAGCTCTACGACCTTCCGTTTCGAAACGCCAAGGGGGGGGGGGGTCGTAACAACCCCCCCCCCTGGTCGTTCGTGTTATGAGAAATGGCCTGGTCGTGCGAGGGTTAAGGAGCGAGGTAAGAAGCCTTTCACTGATTGATCTCGAGGGCCACGAGTCCTCCCGCTGAACTTTCCGCTAGGAGTGACCGGACACTGGGCAGGCGAAAGACGAAACCTGCTTCTAACATAAGGATCCGTGCTGTCGATTGGCACCGTCTAACGGAATTCATTCGTTGTAAAGGGAGGTGCTTGACGAGACCTGAGAGAAACACGCTATGTGGCTAGAATAAAACCAGCTCTCTGAGAAGTGTCACTGGGCACTGACAGCCGGAACAGCCGACCGGTGGGCGCACTATGCGGATCGGAGCGGTCGAAAGACGAAAAGTTAGATGGGAAAGAAACGTAACTACTCGTTCACTTCAAAATGAAGGCCCATCGCTCCCCATTCGGCTCGCACTTCGCTCGCCCATTCAACGATTACGATCACTTCCTGTTTATTGGAGTCGAACCTTTTCGTTTGTTTTTTGTAGGTAGCAGGTCACGCCAATCTAGCCGATAGATGGCGACACGTAAATGGGCTCTTCATTCTGCCGTGCGTGCTCCCTTCTTGTATCGATCAAAACCCGCTAGTTTCCTCCTATTCCTGGCGTTGAAGCTTCCTTGAGAGTATAAGCCGTGACTGGAAAATAATCTTGTTAGGAGAAGCCTCACCAAAAACCTTCATAAGGTGGCTGTGTCTAGAAAGAGGCGTTTCTATGTTCGCCGCACTCGCTCACCATTATTCGCGGTATCCACCATTGGGCCGTCACACCCTAGCGAAGTTTTGGCGTGTAGCAGAAGCGTGAGTTAAACAACCCTAGCCGGCTGCTATTTCAATAGCATACATGTGAACTTTCAGAAAGAAGAGGAAGTGCTGTGTGTGTCGTGGAAATGCCGTGGAACAATATATTTTTGTTCCTTGAAGCTTTAAAACGGTAACAGTGATCTAGATTCACAATCGGCAATCATACCACCCACAAGACAAACTCGCGATGTTAGGTTGCTGTCAGTCGGAAGAAGCAAGAGAACAGCATCGTATCAATCGAGAAATCGAAAAGCAGCTCAAAAAAGACAAGAGAGATGCCAGGAGAGAGCTCAAGCTTCTGTTGTTGGGTAAGAATTCAAAGTAACCAGGGATGCGGAGCCGGAGCCGGAGTCGGAGCCGGAGCCGCCGGAGCCGGCATATTTTGCCCGGAGCCGGAGCCGGAGCCGGAGCCGTGAAACAATATAGCCCGGAGCCGGAGCCGGAGCCGGAGCCGCCAAAAAAGGGGGCGACTCCGGCTCCTTTTTATTTTTTGAAGAGGAAAAAAAATAATTGACCTAGCTCGGTTTGACAGTACAAGGCAGTAAAACATATGGTACTTTACTTACGTCATGGGCCATCAACTGAATGAAAAAAAGCCGAATATCCCCAGTATCCCACTGTACGCAATCAACTTCTTGTCTGCTCCTCCCCCCCCCCCCACGTCTACTGCATCCCCAGAACATGAGGACCGGTCATCAAGTGACGGCCATTGTTTTCAAGCCAGTGCAGTGGACTGCGACTCCCAGCACCGTCTCTTCCCCTCCCCCCACCCCCAACCCCCCCCCACTCCCACCCCCCAATGCAGCCGAGACTGGTGTCAGCTTACGATGGTTCAGTGAACTCCAATTCGCGGCGACTGCGTTTCTAATGCCATCGCTTCCTAGTCCTTTGTTCTGCCAGTTCTCTCCGAGGTGCGTTTGCGCGGGGACGCGGTGAGCCGGTCATGGCAAAGAGTAACGCGTTTAACCAATCCAATTTTTCTTCCACCCGTATTTAATTGATTGCATAGAGGATGTACTGAGTCGGAGCCGGAGCCGCCGGAGCCGGAGCCGCCGGAGCCGGACCATTTTACTCGGAGCCGGAGCCGGAGCCGGAGCCGCCACAACATTTCACCCGGAGCCGGAGCCGGAGCCGGAGCCGATTTTTTTCTCCGGAGCCGGAGCCGGAGCCGGAGCCGTCTGAAATTTCCACGGCTCCGCATCCCTGAAAGTAACCAATTTCACAAAGCCTAAGCCTGTATGTGGCTGAATTATGTGCAATATAATAAGTAAGGTGGTTGTTTCAATACATCTTCCTGCCTACATAAATTTCTAAATAAAGTTATCCAAATTGATGGAGAAAACAATGTTTTTATCCTAGTTTGTTTGCTTGTAATTATGTGTGTTCGTAATTTCAGTGCAAGGGGTGCAACATATTCTATGCCTATATCAATACATTCATTGTTTGCACTTTTTGACTGTATTCTGTATGCTTCTATTGTCCAGTTAAATAAAACAACAATTTTAATCAAAGTTCACTGATTATGAGACCAGATTTTGCTCTTCAGCTGCATCCCTTGAGCAGCACTCAGGTTATCTCTGAAGTTTGTGTAAGGCTCACATTGACATTAGGTGCTAATTAGCAATAATGGAAAGCTGCATCCCATTAGTTGCCATGCCAATACAGTCTCATGACCCACCAGACCCTGTCATCACATTTGTCCTGAGGGCTCAATTCATGTGCTGGTGGCTCTTATGTGCCAACAGCATCCATGAGATGCAATGAGTTTTGCCCCTTTGTAGTAATCCTCACTCTGCCATAGTCTAAAGAAAACTCAATATGAACATGACATTGTGCCTGTCAACAGGCACTGGAGAGTCCGGCAAGTCAACCTTCATCAAACAGATGCGAATCATTCATGGTGTTGGCTACACAGATGAAGATCGGAGGGGCTTCACGAGGCTGGTGTACCAGAACATCTTTATGGCCATGCAGAGCATGATCAATGCCATGGACTTTCTCAACATAGAGTACAAGTCATCTGAAAGTAGAGTAAGTAAGGGGCAAAGAGATCTTTGATGTGTGTTAGTAACATTCAGTTGGCTAGTGTTTACCTACCTGGATTACTGTCAGGGAAGAGAAGCATCTAACATTCTATGGGATGAAGTGGAATGGGGCATGCCCAATAAGTTCTTGTCAGCTGGCAACTAAGAGGTGTTTTGCTGTTTTAGATAAATGGCTGCCTATGGCTGGTGATAACAGCTGCACAGATGAGCTATTTCTTCATCATATTATTCAACTTGTATGTCATGAATCCCATTAGTCACTAGTTCATTGATAAGCAAAGTAACACTATCAAAATTATAGACAGTGTATTTCATTGCAATTTTTATTTACACAAAACTTTTTGTTGCTCAATCTATGCCTTCCAGATGGGATATTACCTGTTAGTTTTGGAAGGAATGTATGATTTTATTGGGAATAAAACTTTTCTCTTAATCTTATCTTAATCTTAGTCTTAAGTTCTTAGAGATTATCATGCATAATATTAAGACATGTTGAAACAGTTGTGTCTAGTCGTATACTGTTGTTCAATAATTAAAAGGTCGAATGACACTGCCATCCACCATTCCCTTTTTATTGCCTTTTAACTCATAGGCAAAAAGATTATGTGTCATGCTACACTTGACTAAACATTCATATTTGTTCTTCTTCATGAGACATTATTCAGCTTTGTTGTATGATCTGTAATACTTTTTGAAATAATGTTAATTGTAATGAAATCTATAATGGACCAGTTAGCCATTGATGATCAAGTTGATAGCTTTGCATTTTATTTGAAAGCCCACTGTCTCACTGAAAAGGAGGCTCTTGTTTGTGGATTACATGATTTAGGAATAAAAGCTGGCTAATCCTCATACTGCTGTATGTTGTCTGGTGCTCCAATGGGTCTTGCTGCTTACCCCAGAAGCCCTTTGGAAAGTTTATGTCTGTGTTTAGTGCAAGGACAATTTTTTAATCTAAAATGGTTTGATGGATTCAGCATATTACACAATGACCAAGTCAGCATGCCTCTAAACATGGCCTGTTATAGTTTGTCCCGACTTCTACCTTCTTATACCTAGGTACTCTCTTTTTGGGGGAGATTCTGCATGGACAGGATAATCCTGTCAAAGCCTCTTGTGCTGTAAAGCCAGGCATGGTCCTTCCCACTAAATTACTTGAAACTGCATATGACTTCTCCCACAATCCACCAAGCACAGACCATCTCTAAAATGTTTTTTTTTTCGAACGCCGGAGCAGCTCAAACGCCGCGGCGACTCGAACTCGTCAGTCTGCTGGGTGTGTTATAACTTATAGGTATCCTGCCAAATTAGATAGGTACCCAAGTGGGCTTTTGGAATGACTGGATCTTAAACCCAACTTGTCCATGACGAAAATGAAGATCATGTTCATGATGCTATAGAATGCTATAGTCTGTGGGATGAATGTTTTTTCAGGTGAGATGACACTCAGAAACATTGCATTGCAAAAGAGCTCGATAGGAGGCTTACCATTATCATAGACTTAGACTATTACTTGCTTTATGACAAGATACTGTGAAAGTGTTGGATTGTGACGCTGTGTAACCGTGTGCCGTCCACAGGAGAGGGCTGAACAGGTGAAGGGTGTTGACCATGAGACAATCACCACCTTTGAGGAGCCGTACATCACATGCATCAGGGAACTGTGGAAGGATTCAGGCATCCAGCGCTGCTATGAACGACGAAACGAATACCAGCTAACCGACTCAACCAAATAGTGAGTGGCGGCATGCTTCAGATGAATCGCTAGAGCTCGGTTGCTTCTTATAACTAACGCATTTGTGGTGTGGTGTTTGTTATGATACGCGTGCAGTTGTCTGCAAAGACTGCTCCGATGAACCAAATTGGCAACGAGAGGTCAGGTAGGCTCGAAGAGTCAAGTTAAACCGCATATTTTTTCTCGTGTGTGTGTGTGGGGGGGGGGGGAGGGGGTAGGGGCTGCTCGTTTTTTTCGCAAATACCTTGCGTAAAAGTGGCTGATCGCGACTATGAATTTTTCAGTGCCGTCGTGTTAATCCATTTTAACCCTATTCCTGGCGGGGGGGGGGGGCCTCAGGAGCCCCCCCCCTGAGGTTTTTTGGTTATTTCTCCCAAACGCGTTGAGCTAGGAAGCTCAAATTTTCTGACTTTTCCTAAAAGGCTTCTACGCAACATGTCTGAAAATTTTGAGTTGATCTGACCTCAGGTCAGGTCACCAGAGGCGGTTTGGTGACCCTTCCTCAGAAAAGTTTGCAATCACGCCAGAGCTAGAGTTTTTGACCGATCAATTTTTTCTCTTCAGGGTTTAGTTAGGGTACCAGTATGTGCAACTTGTATATCTCGGAATTTTGATATCGGTGACCTAAGGTCAGGTCAATTTCGCGACCTCCCCATTATAAGTCAATGGGGGAAAAATCAACTCCCTGTTTTTACCACTAAAACGGGTCGGAATGGCCCCATATACCATACATGACTTCATATACGATCAACCTTCACTACCTTGAGGTCTGTTTTGCTGTTGGGCAGCTGTGAGGTCATGTGACGTCATCAAAGGTCACCAAAGGTTTTTGGCCAATAACTCCGTACAGGAACAAGATACAGACGCGTGGATGGTCTCATTGTGTTCAGCTCGTCAAGACGCATCGAATGATATACATGATGACCTCGAGGTCACGTGACCTGAGGTCAACCTTTGACCTTGACCTTTCGAGGTCAACATATATGTCATTCGATGCGGATTGACGAGAGGATCACGATGATGCCCTTAGTTTGTTCCTATCTTGACTAATTCGAAAGTTATTCGAGAAAAACTCTCTCCATATCTAGCGCCGCCATTTTGACTTTTTCGACCCCTGTGACGTCATCTTTGACCTGACCTGAAAATGACCTTATTAAAAATTGTAGATCTTGGCCGTGCGTATCCGATGCCGTTTACCGCTTGTCGCTATCTTGCTTCGTTCTCGAGATCTCAGGGGGGGGGGGCCGAATCGGCCCCCCCCGCCAGTTTCTTGTCCCGGCGGAGCCCGCCAGGAATAGGGTTAACATCCCCTGAAAATTCCATAACCCTGACCCCAATGACCTGATCTATGGCCTCTTTCTCGAGACCATCATTTCAGGCCAGAATGGCTATTTGACGTTTATCAGCACACATCATTTGTATGTTTCCAGACTTGTGACTAGAAACGTGCGAACATATCAAATGATGTTTGACCCATGGATTATTGAGTGTGTTGGGGTCAATGGAAGGTCAATTCAAGGTCATTGGTCCCGGTGACCTCGGTTGACTTTTCCGAGTTTAGCAACTTCATATGACATTTTTGACTGCTTTAGACTTTATGTATTTAGCATTTGGGAGCTGGTTATTGGGTCCATGGCCTGGCTCGACCCACCCGTAATGAAAATTGATTATTGTCGAAGAAAACGAATGCAAGCTTCAGAATCAGCACCTTAAATTCCCAGAAAAGCGTCACCTGATGAAGATCTAGCAGGTCCTCATTTTCCCATTAGGTCAGTCATTGACCTGACCTGGAAAGTCAACCATTGACCTAGGATCGTAAAATGGGGTACCATAGGCCTATTCCCGTCACGCTCACGAGCAAATGCTCGCTCTTTTTTCGGAAAGCTCTTACTAGATCAAGGGTAGAACGGTTGGGGGGGGGGGGGAGAGGATGGATCTGATCGATTCACATGAACGTTAGCGGCTGTTCTATCCTTAGAGACGAAGGCGATGCTTGAGTGAATGGCGTTTGCATAAACATTAATTCAGCGTGATTGTTATTCTATGTATTAGGGTTGATGAATGACTAGCAGGAGCTCTGTAGAAATATAGAAATCTAAGGTAGCTCATTCATGGGTCGGGCCGGTTTCAGCTCAGGTGACTGCTTGTTGAGCATGCCATAAATACGTGAAGAATCATTGCCCTTTTCCTCTAAGAAGTAAAAACAAAGCCAAAAGTTATATTTAGGCTTTGGCTTTCAGGCTTTGTTTTTTATTCTTCGAGGAAAAGGTCAATGATTCTTCACGTATTTATGCTCGCTATGTTCCTCGCTAAAGCACTTCACACCATTAATTGATTTCTTGTTGATTTGAATGACCCCACATCCCCCCTCACGGTCCTCAGCCGCAAAGAAATCACCCGATCGGACGGTAGGAGTTGACGTCTGCGCAACGAGCCCTGCGTAAGGTGGGCTCCGGCTCCTTAAATTCATGAATTCAAACAAAAAAGGTTAAAGCTTACAAGGCCCTAAACATTTGGAACGAGGTTCCTGGTGTGACGCTATCATCGAGTCAATGCCAGTGTCCCATAATTGAGTTTTGTCTTGGGTGTCAGAGGGGAAAATTACCCACCAAAAAGAGGGGAGAGAGTGAAAAACTACTGATTCGATTAGATCCAAAAAGAGTGAAAAACGACTAAAAGCATGCATTTTATTCTAAGGTGCAGGATGCTTGATGCTAAACCGGGCATCCACACAACTGCTCTTTTATAGGTAAAAAATCTAGGTTTTCTTGGTTGGGAGTGGAAAATTGTTTTTAAAAATTGGTGGTGAGAGTGGTAAATGAATTTCATTTGGATGTCGTTTCCCACCCAAATCGACAAATTTTGGGACATTGGTCGATGCTCGGATTACCTGTATAAATAGAATAACGTCTCATCGCGTCGTTTGAAAGAATCGTGAATGATCTTCTACCGCTGATATGCGAATTATTGTCATTTGACGTCCAAGGATTTCACGTGGCTCAATGACATATATGTACAGCACGTCCTCTGTGCGCCGACTTTCTCCCGATCAGCGGTGGCCCTGCGGACGTGAGCGAGCATTGCGCGTCGTCGCGATAGCGGCCGACCGGGCCTCGCCCGATAGCGGAGCGGACCGGCGCATGACCAGGCCGCCGATAGCGTCTGAGCGCCGGTGCGCGTGACGGGCAGACCCGCCCGCCGGCGCCGCCGTCTGAACAGGGGGCGTTCCCACGTGCGGCGGGCCATCAGATGATGCGTGATAAGCGGGGACTGGATAAAATCTGAGGAGTGTAGTACTAAGCTTAGAGGATGATGCAATTCATGAAGTCTGGTTAGTCTGCTATGGGAGATACTCACATGCCAGTCTTATCTTATGCATATTGTCCCTCCGTGAGATGAAGGCCTTCCGCCTGCGCTGCACAAACGTCATAATCTGGCAGTTATTTGACGATCAATTCGGAGATTTACGTGTGACGCAGTGAAATAATTACGTATATGACGTGTTATTTATATCCGAAGTATGATTCCCCATATGATTCGATGTTTTAAACTTTCAAGGGTTGACATATTTACATAATGGCACACCAATTTTTTGCTTTTATCGTAGCTTCTTTTTTGCTTTCTTACTTATTTGAAGAAAGTGCATTAAACCATACACAACACAACGATACGATGCCGATACGATGAAAACCCGCAACGATCGATCGACTCCGAAGTGTGGGCTGTGGCTTACACATTTCTTACTGATATTTCTGCCTTAAAGTCCCTCGTTTTCTGACGCTTTACGCCTGTGTTGGCAGCTACCTGACCGACCTGGATCGGATAGCGAGCAAAGACTACCTGCCCACTCAGCAGGACATCCTGCGCGTGCGAGCGCCCACCACGGGTATCGTCGAATATCCCTTCGACCTGGACTCCATCATATTCAGGTGAGTGCCTCTTTCGGAGACGATATCTGTACCAGATGAGGACGGGACGCAGTGACATATCAAACCGACCTTGGGCGTGGGGAGACGCGTACACAAGAAGGACGCAAAACGTTTTACCCGATGGAAGCGGGCTTTTTGGGCATCGATGATTTATCGTTGTATTTTGCCGTAATTAACACCGATGAATAACATGTGATTTGTTTATTTTGTTGACTCGATGTTCATACGAAGCTGTGCATAACGTTACTGGGTAAAGTTATAATGCTGCAATGGCTGTACATCCTGGTTACCTATTGGTTCTAGGCTGATTTGATTTTCATTTTATCTTATGATGGTCCTGTTTTGCTTATATGGACACCAGTTGGATTCATATTGACCTCATGAAGGGATCGGCCACTGTTACTACTGTTATCTGTGGATCGGCATATCCTTGTCACTCCTTACATTGGCTGCTCCCGTCCTCTCAGCCACCAGCATCTTGCGCATGCCTTCCTGGATGTGCTATTCGTTACGAACCTAGCCGACAGTCTGACTCAATCTGCTGCTGTTTTTTTCGCAGGATGGTGGACGTGGGTGGTCAGCGCTCGGAGCGAAGGAAGTGGATCCACTGCTTTGAGAACGTCACCTCCATCATCTTCCTGGTGGCGCTCAGCGAATACGATCAGATCCTGTTCGAGGCAGATAGTGAGGTGGGTGTGGCCGCCGGACGCATACGGCGCCCAGATAGGCGGCGCGGATCTTACGTAATGACGGATTGAGCTGTTACGTGATGCCGTAATTGCAGAGATACCTGGTAGGTATCGGTGCATTTAGTTTGTTGGTTCTTTGTGATCGTTTTGCAGTCAAGAATGTGGACGTTGATGAAAGTTGCCTCCTATTTAATCAACAAGAGTCAAAGGCTGAAATGAAAAAATGGGGTTGTATGAGAGCAAAAAAGTTCAGTTTTATGGCACCCTTTTCGAACGTCTTAACATGGTTTGACTGATGACCATCTCTCCTTCAACAGAATCGAATGGAGGAGTCCAAAGCGCTGTTCCGGACGATCATCACGTACCCGTGGTTCCAACACTCTTCTGTGATTCTGTTCCTCAACAAGAAGGACCTGCTCGAGGAGAAAATCATGACGTCCCATCTGGTGGACTACTTCCCCGAGTACGACGGTGAGTGCGGGGGTGGCGGTGGCGTCTCGAGGGGCTTCTGAAGCCGGGCTGGACCGATCCGAGGCCGTACAGATGCGCCGCGGACGTCCGTCCGAAGCCTGCCGCCGTCTGCAGACAGCCGGCCGAGCCGCGCTGCCACCAGGTGGGAGGGAGCTCAGGGTCATGGGCCACGGCTTCTTTTTTGGAGTATGGAGGAGTGTGTGACGGGCATTTTTCTAAGGTAAAGAAAGAGTTGGTTTATGGGAACTTGAGATATTTGGAAAGGCAGCGGGGGGATACCCTGCGTTTTTTTTTTCAACACACTGTAACGCTGACCAGTCGGTGTTTACCGCTGCCTGGCTGTACGTGTCCGGCTGACCGGGCCGGGCCACTGGACGCAGGTCCCAAGCACGATGACGTGGCCGCCCGAGAGTACATCCTGAAGATGTACCTGGCGCTCAATCCGGACCCGGACCGCATGTGCTACTCGCATTTCACCTGCGCTACAGGTCTGAGCAGCGCCGCCGGGCACTGAGCGCCGCCCTCTTCAGGGCGGCTGTAGTAGCCATAGACGTATCTAACCACAGCAGCTGAGGGCCCCGGATACGGCCGGTGTAGTGACGCCCCGGTCTGTGGGCTGTAGGTAGACTGGAACCGGGTCGGGCCGCCGCGCAGTGGCTGGCGCCCTCTGACGACCCGCGGCGCCACCGCCGCCCCTCCGCCCCGCACCCCTCTGCCGGCCCCCCTCCGGCACACAGTGCACACCTCTGCCCTGCCTTCACCGTACAGTCGTCACAGAAATGCTCGTGAAAAGGAGGATATTCCGTGGTCCATATACTTCAACTTGTTGATCAACAACTTGTCATCGCAGTCATTTGTAAACTTTCACAATATGCAGGAAAGATGCAAAACTTGAATGTGCATGTTGGGCATTTTGGTAAAAATCAAATTCCAAACATTGGTTTTTTTTATTGAAGAATACGATCTGGACATTTTACAGTTGGGAATCTTCAGAACATGTCATCGTTCATATCTTAATGAACAAGAGTGAAATGTGGAATTTTATGCATACGAAGATATCATTTTGCAGGGCTCTCTGTGAAGAGCATTTCTCGTGATCTAGCTTTTGAAGCTATGCATAGTAATTTTGGGTCCGTTTTTAAAACCTATCGAATACGCCCATGCTGCAACGTGCGCTGCTTTCTTTGACATTTGACAAAATGGGAAATTTGTTTTTCGTTTGAAGTGCTGGCATTTTTTCCCCACAGATTCGCATCTTTAATGCTAAGGTCTCTTTCGCTGATTTGCTTTTCGTGCTTTGCGCACCGCTGGCCACAAGTGTTCGAACGTTTCCGTCTGAAAATGACGCTTTCTTATCACAACGTTGGTGATTATTTTGGTCACATGGACCCCGATATACATTGCACAGCACACTCTTCACAAATTAGATCGATCTTAGTGCAGATTTCGGGCTCAGATAGTGGTGGTCGAGTCTTTCGCTCACGTAGTAACATTCAGGAACACCTGCGTCTTGTGGGTCTTCACAGACACCTTGCCTCTTTCCAGCCGTCTCCGTAGGTCTTCTGTGGCTCGTTCTGTAGCGCCCGGAAGTGCCCCTCACTGCCTAAGTATGTAGCTAGTCGTCGGTCCGCCGTGCGCAGTTAGTGACACCGCCGCCCCTCTCACCCTGTAGGGCCACAGAGGGACGCCATCGCAGCCCGAGAGTTCATTCTGAGAATGTTTGTCGACCTGAATCCGGACGCGGAGAAGATCATTTATTCGCATTTCACGTGTGCTACAGGTAACGTGGTGATTGGTGTGTGGTGTTGTGTCCGCTGACCCGCATGGCAGGCCTGCCCACCGCCGGCCGCTCGGTGTCCGTTCCCAACTAATGTGCGCTGCTTGTGCGGCCGCGCGCGCCGCCCCGGCTGGGCATGGTCTGCGCTGGGCTGCTGCGGTGCATGTCTGACCGTGCCTCTCGGTGTTTTATGTGTGTGTGACGCATGCGGCAAACGTCAGACACGGAAAACATCAAGCTGGTGTTCTGTGCCGTCAAAGACACCATCATGCAAGCTGCACTAAAAGAGTTTAACCTGGCTTGAAAGCTCGGTGAGTGTGGCTTTGGTGTGCTGTAAATGATGCATGCTACTTTTTTGTCACTAGTTCTGGTATTTTGGTGATTGTATTTGCTCATCACCCCCTCCCCGCATGATAACCCTTCTGTTTTTGCTTATAACCCCAATATTTGGTTAAGCTCACTGGACTTTCAACTAATCATCGTAAGCACAGTTATGGATCTAACAATATGCTTTATGTCTTTTGCTTTGAAGTGGTCGCATCAACGAGCTGAAGCAGCCTTTATTAGACCTGCCCGAATGAAAGCTGTCTGTTCTTATCGGATGAATAACTCATCCAAATATGAATTATGCATCGAACCTCGCATGTAATGGAAATGGGGCTGCCAAAATGGGCTTAATTTCACTTGTAATTAAAGTGACCTTTCTACCCCGAAAAAAGTTTGCCTGCAAGTGGTGCCATAGTTCACAAACGAATATCTACCAAATTGTACCGAAAAATATGCACCTTTTGATATGACAAAAATATTTTGTCTCCTGATATTCTTATATTTTGGCATTGATGTGATCATGGTCCGTGGCCGAAAATTCATCTAAAACAAAAATGCTTGAATGTAAAAAGAATTTTGTAAAGTCATTCAAAGCAATCAGTTGTTTTCAAACCTTCTCACGTAGAAACTGGAAACCCCAGGATTTAGGTTTTAGTACCTACCGCTTGTGGGAAAATATATGCCATATCCGAGTAACGCTTGCATGTGCTGAGTCAGTGGTGGAAACAAATTGCCTTCCCGTCCCTCTATGTCATAATATTTTTGCTTTGGTGATGGTCTTTTTTTAAATCTCATTTACAGCCCCTCTGTTATAAATATTATTTTTAGACAGATTTCGAAACTGATTCGCATGAATCAGCATTTTTATTTGATGTATTTCAATATCGGATAATGCAACACGCTCTCCCATTTCGCTAGTTAATTGTAGCGCGGTGTTTCAAATTGATGGCAGTGAACAAGCAAAAGTTGCATACTTTGCATTGTATTCTGGTGTAACTGTCGTTGATTTCTCATATATTTTAAGTTTATTTCATTCCCACCATAGTGTAATAAATAACACCATAGTGTTATTTATTACACTATGATTCCCACCTTTTGATAATTTGTTTTATAGGCGTGCAGTGTAGCAATTGGTCGACGCAGCGCTGTTCATATATCTATTGTTAGTTTTTTCGTGTATGTTTGAAAAGTAGATTTTATTCTTCTAAATAAAAGTATTTTAACGATTCAAGTACAATAGCATTTCCGTTCTGTCACATTGACTGTTTTTGTGGCATCCACTTTTTCATTCTACCCAGTTGGATGCGATTTCTATAATTGCAAGCCACCTTGTTTATAGTGTCTTCAAAGTGATTTTGTTTGGGTTATTAATGGTCTGCCTTGAGCCTCTTGACTATGTTCTGCTCGCAACGCGCCTTTTTTTTTGTACAGAGTGCGTGGTCACGTGAATAACCCCTGCGTGCCGGCCGCGTTTCAGATACGGAGAATATTCGGTTCGTGTTCGCCGCAGTCAAGGACACGATTTTGCAACTGAACCTGAAAGAATACAACCTGGTGTAGACGGCCATGTGGTGTGTTCTGCTCCGGCGGACGGAGCTCGCGTTGCCGGACGGCCGCGCGCCACTTTGCTTTGCGCTTTCAGGCGGGCGCGGGTGGGCTGCCAGCCAGGCGCCGCCCTCACACCGCCAGACCGTTTTCATACCATTCCGGAGGCGCAGGCAGCGGGCCGCCGCCGCCGACGTGGACGGCCCCTCTGTGATGGCTGGCCGCCCCGGAGAGCGCCGCCGCCCGTCACACCGCCGCCGCCGCCGCCCTCAGCGCGTTCAGTTATTTTCTGTGTGCCAAATCCGTATCCGATCACCTTGCATTGGCGGCGAGCGCGGCCGAGAAACAGGCACCTTGTGATTCAGGAAGGGGCGGTCGGTGTGCCGTCGGCGGACCGCGTGTGCGCCCTGTCCGCCCGTGTAGTAGCGTCGTTACTATGATAGCTTTATCCGTGTAGTCACCGAGCCGTTTTGTTATGGTGGCGCGCGCGACGCGGCGCCGGGCGGACGGCCGCCGCACGTCTGCTCCGTCCGCGCGCTCTGTCTGCCCGTAGGGCGTCTTGTGCGTGCCGATCGTGTCCGCTCTCCGATCTTTAGTATCAGCCAATGCCTTCTTTGTTTTGTAATAATGTTTCTTTACGTGTTGTGAGTCGGTGCTTGTGAGCGCGCCGCCGCGGCGGGCTGACCACAGCGCGCGTCGTGGTGCGGATATCAGTGGGCGTCGGCGTGCCTGCCGACAGCGCGGCGCCGGACCGGCGCGGCCGCCAGTGATACGGACGGCGCCCGGCCGCCGCCGCCCTGTAGTCCTCCGCTGTGTTCCTGTCCGCGCGCGCGCCCCCGTTTTGTACCGGGCGCCGGCGTGGCGTCGGTGCTGGGCGCGGCGGCTGCCGTCCCGGCCGGGGCCGCGGCGCGCCGCGCAGCCGGTGCCCGGGCTGGGTCGCCTCTGCACTGTGTCTCCCCCTTTGCAGAGCGGCCTGCGGGCCGCGGGGGCCCAGCCCGCTCGCAGGCGCCGCCCGTCGCCACGCCGTCGGCCCGCGCCGCCCGCGACACACTGGCGCAGACACATGAGAGTGAGAGCGAGAAAACATTATCGTATTGTTAGCTGCCATGCTTTGTAACTACCAATTATGGAGGGTTTGTGTTCAAGAAATTAATATTTATTGACTGCATTTGTTTATGGGGAGCCACCTCTGGTGTTGGCGTCGCGAGCTGTCTGGACGTTTCTGAGAAGTTTCGTCGAAGACAGGCTTCTGGGAGAGCGAGATGGACCCATTTCCACCATAAACACGTCACCATTAGGAGACACGCATTGTATACATGATCGGCAATTCTAAGTATGGAGTCATTATGCTCGATTGGTTCATGATACCTGGTATTCCATGGCGTGATGAAAGTAGTACGGGGTCATGCTCATCTCTGGGCTAGCGAACAGACCAGGCTACGACGAAGCATCCTGATCTGGGTGTAGTCCATGGTTCAATGAACAGCTATGGAGTCGTACTCATCGCTTAGCTGGCGATCACGCTAGGCAACGACTTGCGCCCCGACCCGAGTGTATTTCATTGTCCGATAAATTGCCTGGTAATGTTTATCTCTTAGCCAGCGAACACACCAGGCGACGATTTAGCAATACGATAGAGCATATCGCACAACACTCGGTGCGATGGAGACGAGATTGTCTGTGAAATCGAAAATTATGTTCAAATATGTCTTTTAATGCAGTCTGTTTTACAAAACAGACACCTTGAAGTCATATTTAGCTGTTTCCTGATCCCATACCAAAATTATTCGTCTTTTTGGCAGCTGAACGAGATGTAGAAGTTCGGGCAGGGGCAAGTGCTTTCGCAGTTTGTTACGGCTTTACAGGTTGCTTCAGGGGCGGATCCAGGAAAACTCCAAGGGGAGGGTCATGAATCGAAGTGGTGCCCCTACCTATACCCAAAATTAAAAACTCAACGGATTTCGTCCACTTCATTTTGGTGGTGCCCCCATTTTCAGTTTTTTATTTTTATTTTTTATTTTTAGTCAGTATGTTACCTCTTAGCCACAACCACATTTACCAATTGTAAGCAAGTATATATGAATGTGCTATGTGTATATATGTTGTGGACGCTGAGTAATGAGTACTTACCAGGAACGTTATCAGGTAAGCAAATCGTTGTCAGTCCGACGAACTTGACCCTGGCGTCTAAAGGGTCTGTCCTTGACACTTCAGGCTTGTCAGGGGCACCAAAGTCCTTCCAGGGACACCACAAACCTGTCAGGGGCACCTACGGCCTTGTAGGGGCGCCACAGGCCCGCCAGGGGCACCACAGGCCTGCCAGGAAGCAGGGGCACCACAGGTCTAGCAAGTATACACGACAGGCCTGTCAGGGGCACAACGGGCCTGTTGGGCCCATGAGCACCCCTAGGGGCAGGGGCACCACAGTCCTTCCAGGGGCACCGCAGGCCTGTGAGGGGCACCAGCGGCCTAGCAGGGGCACCAGTCAACACAGGCCTGCCAGGGGCACCACAGACCTGCCAGGGGCACCAGAGGCCTGCCAGGAGCACCACCGACCTCGCAGGGGTAACTTGGGCCTGTCAGGGCCCAGGGGCACCACGGGCCTGTCGAGAGGCACTTCAGGCTTTTCAGGGGCACCATAGTCCTCTCAGGGCGCAGGGGTAGCAGGGGCACCAGAGGCCTGCCAGGGGCACTACAGGCCTAGCAAGGGCACCACTGGTCTATCAGGGGCACCACGAGCCTGTCATAGCCAGGCATCTCAGGCTTGTCAAGGCCCAGGGGCACCACAGGTCTGTGAGGGGCACCACAGGTCTGTGAGGGGCACCAGCGACCTAGCAGGGGCACCAGTCAACACAGGTCTGCCAGGGGCGCCACAGACCTGCCAGGGGCACCAGAGGCCTGCCAGGGGCACCACCGGCCTCGCAGGGGCACCTTGGGCCTGTCAGGGGCACGACGGGCCTGCCGAGGGGCACTTCAGACTTTTCAGGGGCACCAGTCCTCTCCGGGCGCAGGGGCACCAGAGGCCTGCCAGGGGCACCAGCGGCCTAGCAAGGGCACCAGAGGCCTACCAGGGGCACCACAGGCCTAACAAGGGCACCACGGGCCTGTCAGGGGCACCTCAGGCTTGTCAGGGCCCAGGGACACCACAGTCCTTCCAAGGGCACCGCAAGCCTGTCAGGGGCACCAGAGGCCTGCCAGGGGCACCACAGGCCTAGCAAGGGCACCTCTGGCCTGTCAGGGGCACCTCAGGCTTGTCAGGGCCCAGGGGCACCACAGTCCTTCCAGGGGCATTACAAGCCTGTCAGGGGCACCAGAGGCCTAGCAAGGGCACCACAGGCCTGCCATGGACACCACAGGCCTGCCAGGGGCACCACCGGCCTTGCAGGGGTGCCTCAGGCCTGTCAGGGGCACCACGTGCCTGCCGGGGACACTTCAGGCTTGTCAGGGGCGTTACAGTCCTGTCAGGGCCCAGGGGCACCAGGCCCGTGGTGTCCCTGCTAGGCCTGTGGTGCCCCTGGCGGTCCTGTGGTGCCCCTGTCAGGACTGTGATACCCCTGATAGGCCGGTGGTGCCCCTGGAAGGTCTTTGGGCCCCCGGGCCTCAAGGGGGGGGGCCATGACCCATGTGACCCCCCCCCTTGGATCCGCCCCTGGGTTGCTTGACAAGCTAGTTTTTCCTTGTTTAGGTATTTATTGCTATTTTGTTAGCTACCAAAGCATTTTCTTTAGCCCAGGGTCCTTAATTCGTTGGAAACCAACACAGTCGGGTAGAGGATCTGACACAAACGCTCACACTAGCTGCCAACTCTTATTGCGAACCGAATTTGTTCAGTCTGCAGGCACCGACTGCTCGACCACTCAGCGTCACCGGACCCGCTGCCGGCATCCTATTCCGAGTGGCCTCCGCCCTGGCCACTCGTCGCCACTCCGGGTACCCGAGAGGCTGATCGGTGGCAATGGATGGATGGGGAGGGGTCAGCGCGACCTGTCCTTCGGGCCAGCGAGGCTGCGCCGAGACGAGCCGTCTCAGCACTCAGCGCTGACGAGTGCCGATCAATGGCCGTCAGCAACCGATACCGAGCACGGAGTCACGACCGGAGGCAGGGAAATGCCTAAATAGGCTTGTAGATAGGGTCTGTAGGGAAGTTGGGGCAATGCCGGAGTTGGGGCAAAGCCGAAATTCGAGATATTTCGAAAACCGTACGACATGAATGCCACCTGTCAGTGATGCTCTGAAGCTTAAGTGACTACCAATTATCGCATGTTTGTTACGAGTCGTCATTCGGAATACTTCGGCTGTGAGGGCGCCAAGAGCGTTTTCAAGGTACGTTTCCCTTGTACTACATGCGCCTTTGAAGCTGCATTTCTTACTCATTATGCTACCGTTTGTCTGGCCAATTCGGTCAAGTAATCTTCAGTATGTCTTTGCATAAGTGTGCTGCCTATTTGAAATTTATACAGCACGTTGAAAAGTTATGGGCCTGCAAATGAAAGTATGGCTGGCTAGGGTAATGCCGAAAACGTGCAATTACGCACGTTAACCCGCGCCGTGCTGGTGGCCTGAACTTTCCGCCGAGTGCTGGGGGGGGGGCGTTTTCACGCCCCCCCCGTCTAACTCGGCTCCTGGGCCACGTAGCGACACGCGGTAAGCGGCAATCGAAAGAGCGTCAAAAATAAGGACGAAAACACTTCGGTCATTTTTTGGGTCAGGTCAAAGGTCAGGTCACCAGAGGTCACCAAAGGTAAAATGTTGACTATTTCAACATTTTGGAAACTGCCAACGGCTATCTCGGGAACCGATAGAGCTACAGCGCCGCGGAAAAGCGCATTCGATAGCCCTTTTACAGACCTTTCTGAGTAATGTTCTCAGATTTGACCTCAGGTCAACGGTTTAGCCTCCAGAGGGCAAAAACTCCAAAAATAGCCGTTTTTACGAAAAACGTTTTTTCGTCAATAACTTTTGACTCATAAGCGCCATGACATTACTTTTGCCAGCATCGTGTTCCTCTCGTCGAGACGCGTCGAATGAACTATTTGTTGACCTTGAAAGGTCATTTTGAAAATTTGACCTCAGGTCAAGGTCATGACCTGACCGAAAAGGGTCATGTTGCATATCAGTCGATCCGTATCGTCGAGCTGAACACATCTGACGTGTTTTCACCGCTCTAGCACGTCTCTATCAAAAGTTATAGCCAAAAAACTGCTGGCGACCGTTCATGACCTGAGATGACCTCAGGGGCACACAGAGGGGTCACAGGTGCATTTTTCCTATTCAGTGTGTCATGTTTACCTATGAACCGATGTTTGAGAGCGTTTTGAACGATATTCGTCCAAAAGAGGCGCATTTCAATTTTCTCCCATTGACTTATAATGGAGAGGTCGCAAAATTGACCTGACCTTAGGTCACAGATATCAAAAATCCGAGATATACATTTTATACATACTGTTACTCATATCAATCGCTGAAAGTTTCAAAGTGATCGTTCAGTCGGTGTAGCTATAGCGAGCCTTTGAACTTTTTCTGAGGTAAGGTCACTTGACGTGACCTGGTGACCTGACCTTGAACGGCCTAGGTCTGAAATTTTCACAACATGTGCGGAAATGATGTAGGAACACGTGTACCAAAAACGGCGGCGCTGCGCGCCGCCGTTTTTGAGATATTCGCGAAAAACCTGAGGGGGGGGGGCGTAAAAACGCCCCCCCCCAGCACGGCGCGGGTTAAAGCACGCTACGTGGACTTTACTGCTGTGGAATAGCAACGCGTATTTTTAGTCACACAAATCACACTTTCAACCGACACAACGGCCTGTTACCTATAAGGAATGATTTACCTGGCCTTTTCTTATTATATCATACAATTATAACTTCCAGTGTGCACCAAACGTCCTTAAAGGGAGATAATGACCTTTTTCCACAAAATCTGAGTTAGGACCATTTTCTGACAAAACACAACAAGTTATAATGTAAATTAAAACCATTTTGCTCAATTCGGTACCTTGCCGCAAATATCTCAACTTGAAGTCACGTTAGCGGGGAGCGCTGAAAATGACCGTTGAATAAGTACTTACATCACTTTTTGGTACTTGCATGTAATTTTGTAAAATGAGCGTATTCCTTACATTTGATCTTCATCACATCTAGTTAGTTAATGGTCGTCTATAGTGCC